TAAATTCTATTTGGTGAATGCTGCTGAAGTGCAATATATATTACATATTTGTGTGTGAAAAACCATTTGGTGTTTTGGCACTCCAGAAGTATGTGTACCAATATTTAGGTAACTAATTTTGTTCGCCTATTTTACCACAAGTTGTGTAAACTGAAACCTATGAGCAGGTAGGTATATTCAATTGGCTAATACAGACAGTCCCCGAACTAAAATAAGGAAAATCGTAATAAAATTATGGCCTAACCCTAACCTGGTACTGGTACACATACTACAGGAGTACCGAATATTTAGATACAAGTGACAGCATATATGCATCATTTAGCGATTACAAATTTGCTTAGTAGTCTTGCTATATTACTGGTATGTGGTCTTGGGTTTGCTCAAGTGTGAATACATGAAACTTATCTAGTAGATGTTTTTATGTCTTAAATGCTAATTCTTCAACATATTTTAGTGATATGATGTTGTGTGTAAGCTTCCCAGTTACAAGATATATTTTGTGAAATATATCATCTTTATTGCAACAGGAATTGCGACTTTATGTATCATTATTGAGCATATTTGCATCATTGCTATTTCTAGCTAAAATTGTACCTTCATGCTAGGAATGTTAATATTCCCTATAGATTTCGTTCTAAATATAACTCTTACTTTATTTTTAGAAAGGGAACATCAGTGTTCCCAATTTCTAAACCTTGTGTAGTGTAGACTGTTATATAATATTCAAATATCTTACTTTGATAATCTATTCTTGTAGTAGCATTGTATATTTGCTATGTGGTTGATATTCACTTGACAGTTAGTGTTCTATTTAAGGGTTTTACTCATTTAACAATATGGTTGCTGGCTTTTATGGCTGCTATAAATTTCATATCTATTGTATTGGGCAACCCTTTGAAAGAGCATATTGAATTGAATTTAGTAGGAGAGTGTAGTTTATGCATTTGCAGTATTTTAGATTTACGTTGGTATTATATCCGTATCTCATTTGATATCCTAAAAGAGCATTTGCTAAATGGCATATGATTCATACAATATATAAATGCTAGATGAGAGGCATTATGATTTTGGCTATACATAGTAACTATAAATAGCAATAAAAGCAAAGTCATTGAAATGGCATGTGATATTTCATACTTTATGTTTTATAGGTTTTTCGCTTGCTTTTATAACTAGGCCTGGTAGCCACCACGATTCACGAATGTAATGGTATCAAGCCACTATTACTGATAATAACCTAAATGTCATAGCCTATTCACTTTCATTTTAGATGACAGTAAATATCATTTAGTATGATCTTAATTGCTTTGTTGGACATATTCTTACAATATTGCAGTACTAGATGAGCATGTGTTTTCAAGATATTTTATATAGAAGACGTATTTTTGAATTTCTGAATAAATATTATATAACCACAAAATTGACTGGGATTGATCTGGAAGGTAAAAAGGTTTCATTTACACTGTAGTTCTATATGTTTTGCACAATCAAAGCTGAAGTGTGCATTCCTGGTAGAAAATAATAATTATACTGTTTGCTTTCCAACTTCCCAATAAAATGTGTATACTTGACTTAGATAACACGTTTAAAAGTAACTGAAAAATCAAGCTGAATGCTTGCTAATTGTGTAGTAAAACTATAGTTTGTAATAATGGGGTAAGATCTCCCTGTCCCTACTTCATTAGTTGATTCATATTGTATATTGTATAATTGCAATACTGCTGTAGCAAGGAAAATAAAGATCATTAATTTTAGTATTTCAACACTCTTGCAAATGTTGCTAATCAGAAAAATTTCTGACTTCTTAATTAGAATATTTCACAAATTTCACAGAAATCACAAATACTTCGAGGGAATGCCGCTGAAAAATATTATTCAGAGTATTCATATTGAAAAGCCCAAAACTTGAAATTGAAATGCCATAAAATTTTTTTTAAATATATGCTCCTCATTTCTCGTTCACAGCATGCATCCCTGCAGTTGTAAATTCTTTATTGTTTTTATGAACATGCATTGATCATAATGTCCATCAATCTCTGCAATACTGTTAATAATAAAATCACACTTTGATGTCTATTCATTCTTTGGCAGTCTGCCACAATTTACATTACAATGTTTATGGTTCTAATAGAAATCAATATTGGCATACTATTCATCATGTACTTATAAAACACATCAACCTTTGGTGAATAAATTTGTAGAAAGGTTACAATTTTATTGACCGCTAATCCAAGGGATAGAAATTGTGTGAGTTCTGATCAATTCAAGCGGATCTTCGATATAATTTTTTAATGGATTCAAGATCCGGAACCATTTATTTATTATAGTCTATTTTATTTTATCTGATACAATTTATGGTATCTTTTAATGAGCATTATATTAATTCAAATTCCTATGCCAAAGGCCCAAAGCTATAATTCAGATTCTTTTCTAAAAATTTTGGGTACTGGTAGATGTTATTACTTTGCATAGTTCAAATTAAGTAAGTTTATGAATAGAAATATATATTTGGTTTTTATGCTAAATCTTCTATCCTTCTGCATTATTGTTAAATCTGAAGACTGCTTGGGGCAATACTGACTAAAGGTAGTAGACACTAAAAATGTAACGTTTCATCTATTGAAAATTTATGTTCAAGTTGTTTATATCCTCAATAGTTAGCTTTTTTCTGTGGATATTTTAAGCATTGCGCTCTCAAAGTTTTTAGATAAATCCCATAGATTCTCGATAATTCTTTGAAGTAAGAAGTATTTGCGCAATAACAAATAGGCAGCAATTAGCAATAATTGAATTTATAATTCGTGCTATTTCAGTAGGGTTTTCAAATGGATTTCTGATAATCTTCATTGATTTCTGTATTATTTGCTATTTTTGAGTTAAAATCATGATGTTACAGGTTGTTCATGAAGGTCATTGATACCATATATGGGCCATTCCAAGCAAAAGTTGAATTCCATCAATTTTTTAAAAAAGTGTAGTGAAAGTATTTTTTTTTTATTTTGATATCAAAAGACATTGGAATTTTATTGGACTGCATTCATTTCATCGAACAATTTAAAAATTTCACCCAGGTTTTTGATGGTTTATAAAATATGGCCTGAAATGTAGAAATTTTGGTATAATTGACATATTTTGTGATGATTCCTGACACAAGTGTTTGATTGTGTGGTACAGTTATTTCATTTGGAAATTGACGCACTGGATTTAAGTTAATAAAGTTTAAATGTTTGCAGTGCTGTAGGACATTTCTTCACGCCATTTAACGATTTATTACCAGAATTTTAGAGATGATAGAGGTCGCTATTCCGAAATGGAAAAATGTCACTGTAGTGTCACATACAATATGCACATTATTGGCATGGATTTACAGTGTTACATTAAGTAACTTGAGCAACACATAGAGGGGTAGTTTCAGCTACTGCACCAGAAAATATTATGGGTTCCTACTGGTACCATCGCATAAATTTACAGCACAACACAACGTACTGTTAGTGCATGGTGGATTTGCCGTCCTGTAGTGTCACGCTAATTTTACTATATTTTTTTTATCTACTAAGTATGTCTTGGGTGTAACTTTTGTGCAATTTTTTTATATATTCAATAAAGCAACTGATTGGACAATGAAACAAAACATGTTAGCTGAAAATGTGAAAATATATTGCATCCAACAACATGCAAAATTTCTGGAATTGTCCTGTAGTGTCACTTGGAATAGCCCATATATGGTAGTTTGTAGGCTCCTACAGGTATATTATTAAATGGAAAAAACTCTAAAAAAAACTAATTGAAATAAAACAAAACTTTTAAAGATATATTGATTCCTAACTAACTTGGACTTCAAGAACACCATGCATTTTAAATTTTATTATGATTTGACAAAGGAAATTTCTTTTGGTTATTTGAAATTAAAGTTTTCATTCTTGTGCCATATAGCTACTTTTCTCTTGAAACTTTGAGTTTTTCTTTGTCACTATTGAAATAAAAATAAACTTTTGCGCCAGGAACAAATTAGGTAACGTAGTTCATTGGTATGTTTAATTAGAAAGTAGAACACTTCCTAATCTGATTGTAAAGCTCTTATCTATTAATTAAATAAGGGATTATCAGTTCAAAGCACTTGATCCCAGATTGTCGAGTGAACTGATTCAACTGACACTTACAATGAACATGCCAGCTTAATTACGGAAATTCAATTACAAAGCTAGAAGATAAGTTATAAAATCATCATATATGGGCGCCGATTACATAAATGTAATATTTCATTATTTGAAACTGTTTGATGAATTCTTATTTCTAGCTTCTGAAAATTTTATTCTGAAGATGTTATATTTTTTTTTCACATGTCCTTTTTGTAAGATTCTTTTGAAATACTGCGAAATATTTTTTACTAATTAAGATGCACTTTATAATTATTTGCTGTTAATTTGAAAAAGAACAGTGAAAGAGAATTAGAGTATAAAGATAAAAGCTAGTTTTCATGTCTGAGTTAAGCCTCATATTTATGCCATATGTGTTGTTAATAAAGCAAGTTATAACGTAAATAATCGCATTGTGTAATTGACTTGTGGTATACTAGGTGTTTCTCACTTTGTCGTTAGACATTTTAAAGGATAAATATGCAACGATGATGGGGAAATTGAACCTTTATCAAAACAGTTGCGAATGGCATTCAGTTTCATTCCACACTTATTACTATAACCAGCGATATACTCGTCATTCCTATAATTAAGTGCTATCGCTGTATTGCCTTGGTTTTGCTGTTACGATCAATCCCAACAGAATTTGGTAACACACACTCATGCTTTATTGAGTGTGATCCTACGTATTATATGGTAAATTCTATGTTTATAATTGGTATTTTACAATGTATTAAGAAGAGTAGATTGTTGGATTGGCCATCCCTGGCCCGAATTATATCAAAAATCTTGCTGGAAAACTTATATTTGCAAACCAGTAAAAGTACAACAAGTTATAAATGTTCAATCTGTTTTTACAGTGATGTTAATAACTAATAATAAGGTATATTGTATATCTTAACGAGACACATAAACACGATGGCAGAAATGCCCAACTTTGACCCGAACTTTGAGCCTCAGTCTCGCCCTCGTTCGGGAACATGGCCTTTAAATCGGCCCAACATTCCATCAAGGAAAAATAGAATGCAAGAGATGGGTGGAGGAACTTTTCTAGACACAACTCTCGAGGAAGCAAACTCACAAGAGCTCATTGCAACTGAATCTAATGAAATGCTTGAGCCACCACCATTGTTGATGAAGGACGATTATTTGTCGCTGTTGTCTCCAGATTCTATGAGTGATATTGACTGTATGTTAGTAGGATCATCGCCTACAGCAAATCTTGTTACAGATTTTTCAGCTCTTTCGAATACAGTGATAAAACCAGAGCCTAGTAATATTGCGAATAATATACTGAGTGATTATTGCGCATCTAGTACAATGACAGAACTATCTAATTTACCAGAAGGACAGACATTCGAAGATGTTCAAGTGATGCAACAGCAAAATGCGATGCAAATACAAAACACTGCCGCTACATCGGTAAATTTTGTATCGAGCAGCCCTTCACTGTCAAAATCCCCTCCTTCCACCACTGTCTCAGCGACACAATCGTCGGCCGCTACTGGTGCTACCACGAAAGCAAAATCGACACGGAAAAATGCCTGGGGAAACATGTCCTATGCTGATCTCATTACACAGGCTATCGAGTCTTCTCCTGAGAAGAGACTGACTTTGGCACAGATTTATGAATGGATGGTCAAAAATGTTCCTTATTTTAAAGACAAAGGAGATAGCAACTCAAGTGCTGGTTGGAAGGTATTTTTTATTTATTTCCTAGTTTATTTACTTTCAGTCATTTCGGGAAAGATTTGCCTAGTAGGGATAAAGAGCAGGCTTTTTAACTGAGTGGGCATCATAGGTAGGTTGGATGTCTCAGATTTGAGCCCGGAGACCTTTTTACCAAACATTTTATTATAACAAAATTAGTGCGAACAAGAAAAATTGAAATTATTATTTCTCAATCTAAAAATCGAAATCTATTATTTTATTGCAAAATAAATCCATTTTCAAGATTTAGAAATAAATAATTGCAAAGCAGCATTCTTGAATATTGAAATATAAATTCTTGGTCAGAGACAGTTTGAAAAAAAAAATCTATCATTAGAGTATTTAATGCAAAAGTATGAAACTTGAAAAAAAAAACTGTTTTGAGAAAATGATAAAACTAATTTATATTTTGAATTTTCAACTCATTTAACTTTTTATTGAAATTACTTTGGTGATTATTTGAAATACCATTCATTCAGTCATTTATGTTTCTTACAACAATGATGACACATTATCTGAATTTTCCACAGTATATTTACATTTTGCACTATTGTGTAATACGAGTAATGAATTTTTAGTTGCTGACTGAATCATTTTACTACAATATAGTATTCCCTTCCTTTTTCCAGAATTCTATTCGACACAATTTATCGCTCCATGCAAAGTTCAAGAGGATTCAGAATGAAGGTACAGGAAAATCATCATGGTGGGTTATAAACCATGAAGCCAAACCTGGAAAGTCGCCACGGCGTCGTGCGATCAGTATGGACAATGCCAGCTCAAAGTATAATCGTTCTAGGAACAAGGCACTAGCAAAGCAAAAGGTATTTGTTTCAAGATAATAAGCCTGTTTAAGGATGAGGTATACTTAACCGTACCAAGTAGGGCTGTCCAAAGTCGAATATTTTTTTGATTCAAATCGAATTTTTTTTTTGAATAATCGAATATTACGGCATTGCGAAATCCTAATTCTGTCTTTATTTTACAATAAAAACTCCCCCTTAGATATTGTGATAACGTATGTGCAGTTACATCTAAAATAGCCTACTGCTGATATTTTGAATAACCGTGAAATATCGGGAAACCAGTTATGCGAGGGATGAGAGTCCATCAAGCACGAAGAGCCGGCGCTTGCCCGGTGAAAAACGCAGTGCAAAGGTGGTCGTGAGACTTTTTCCGCTTCATGTACTTTATTTCAGAGATTTGCGAATAAGCCAGAAACGATTCAAATAATTTGCGCTTCGATTCAATTTCGAATATTCAGTTCGCTTGGACAGACCTAGTACCAAGCGATCCAAAATTAATCAAATTTATGTAGGGGGTATCAAAATTGCTCATTATTATTAAAAATGAAGGACGAATTTTTGTCACAGTATCGATATTTGCAGTAATAGCAGATTTTTCTGTTTTAAAAATCTATTGGTAGGATATTCAATGAATAGCCTATTCGTTTCGCAATTCTCCTGTTCCTTATCGCGTAAGATAACGTTGCGTTAACAAGACTCTGATTCACACTGAATTCTTATTTTATAAACAGGCCGCTGAAATAATGAAGAAACAGAAAGCTGGAATGAAACCAGGACAAAGAGAATCTGGTTCGTGGAGTCGTGATCCAACTTCTGGTCTTGAAACACCAGTCTCCAAAGCACTTGCATCTGAATATCGGTAAGCTTGTTTCGCCGCACCTATAAATAGGGATGGAAAGCGGTTATGTTGTTATTATTTATCACTCTAATACTATCTCATTCAAGCATCCTTGTGGCAACGTCACATACGGATCCGAAATAAGGAAAAAGGATCTGCAGTTCAATACACAATATCCTAGTACCCTTTGCTGAAAACATTGTTACCGTTATACCATCATGCAATGAAATTTCTATGAGATTTCCATCGATAATATTTTTGGATTTGGCATCGCTCGAATATTTAATAAATTATTGGGACTCTTTGGTACTTATCACATTTGTGTTTGTTTGTAGACTACTCATTATATTATGGTTCAAAATTCAAATTTCGTTGGTGATTACCTATTCATCTTAAACAAATTTTATATTTCATTCAACAAGATGATGTTTATGAAGCAATACATATGTATGCACTGCTCACCTAATGGACCTTTCCCCGAGCATCGACTTCCTTGTTTACTTCGTGACATTCGCCAATCAGCAAGATGCAAAAAGTGATGTAACAATGCCCCCTTTTCGCATCCGCTCAGACACTTTTCTCACTCAGACAGATTTTCAAGCGTGATTGTAAATATTACCTCGTTTTCGCGTTTTTGAACTCTATTCGTTAGTTTTCAGTTGTGTTTTGGGAACTTAAATAAAAATCAGATAATTCAATGATCACTCTGTCTTTCTAGGAGTTTTAATTTAATTGCAGTAATAAAAATTAGTGTAGAAATAGCTGTGATAGACTAGCCTGAAATTCTTTACCTGTACTTTTAAAAAACAGATTGTTGTATGCGATGAATCATAATGATGGTTTGAAACACATACCCCATTTTACAGACGCCAACTCGCAAAAGCACTCTTAAAATAGCCTTGACAATTTTGCAATGGTAAAGTATGGGGGAGAATTTTCCGAGGGTCAAAGGTCGGGGAAAGGTCCATGATCACATATTTTCAATTACCAATTTTACCTTGTATAAGGTGACAAAAATGATCTTGTGTGCAATAAAGATACAACAGTATTTTGGATTATGTTTTGTATTTTGTTCAATTAGTATCTGTTCAATAACTGAAATTGAAACAGATTTAAAATAATATAAATTTATAATGAGATTTTTTACTGAATTTTTGAGAAAATGTTCTAATTTAAAATTCGAATCTGAATGGGACCAATTGTCAATGAGATAAAAGAATAATTAAATTCAGGTTTCAATGTTGTATTTCCAATTCTGAAATATTCGGTAATAATAGAAACAATGTTATGCCACACTATTTGTCTATACTCCTTCAAATTTAACGCTTTAGATAGCCCATGTTCAATTGCACATAACTTTCATATATTTTTTTATCAACATCTTTAGACAAAGAGCAAGCTCCAATGCCAGTAGCTTGGGTGGCAGGACATCTCCAAGTCTATTTCTTGCCCAAGACTTGGATGATGATGGAGCACCTCCTCTTTCACCTCTCTCTGGATCGATTACGAATCTATCAAGCCTTGGAACATCTGTACCATCAGGAGGTAAGATTTTGGTAATATACAGGCTGAACATATCAAAACATATCATTGGATCAGGGTTGTACAAAAGCCCGGCCCGCCTAGCCATTCAGTGTGGCCCTTCTCAACGGCCCGCCTAGCCATTTAGTGTGGCCCTTCTCAACACTCAGATTTTTGCCCATCAAGCATAATCCGACAGTTTATGTTAACATCTGGTATTAACAAACTATGTAAGAAATTTGAATTGTCCAACTAAAATTTTGCATTGTGGGAATTTTTCAATTCGTTGTGTACTTGGAAAACCTAAATTTTTGTGACCCAGCTGGATGTCTGAAGTGGGTTATATGGCCCATCGACAAAAATTTTGCACACCCCTGTTCTAGAGAGTTACATAACTTTTGTACAAAGCGTCCCAGATTACTGGAGGTACGATCGTCGATCATACACAAACAGAAGTTTAAGTATTCAATACATTTTCTTTATTTTCGTACAAGTAATTAAGACATTCATGGGTTCTGATCTTCTTGAGTCATCCTGTATTGATGATCTAATGTAATTACTAATCGATTTTAATCTGTAAGTATGTTGATTTTGTCTGTTGGATGCACGCGATATCTCACGAAAGCGAGATTGAATCTGCCCCAGATTTTGCATGTGCATTCATCATATGTCGTACCAGAAGCCTATTGATTTTGGATGAATTATGTCGTAAAATTAGCGAGTTGTTAATCAATTAGTGATGGGACACAAGGTGTCACTATGGAGTAAGAGCGCTGTTTTGGGGGATCCCCTAACTTTCAATCGATAAGTCTTCGGTCTCTGACCGATATTCTCGTTTTATTTTTCTTGACTAATGACTCATGACACATTTTTCTTATGCTTCAAATTCATTGAATTTAGTCATAATTTCATCCCACCATAGACCAATTTTTCTGGTATCACAGTACTGCAATAGTTACTATCCTATATAAATAAATATAATGAACTCAAATTATTTGAAAGACTGGTTACATGTAGTACGGTAATTAAAGGATTTCACTGAAGAGTTCTTGTCTCAATGAAATAGCTTTATTAGTTTGGTCACAGTCAATATATTCAAATATTTGAAATGTTTTGTATGTCATCTCATCTCTTATTATAAATTAAATTAAATGAGTTTCATTTCGATAAATTTGATTTCAACAGGTTGATTATGAGATTACTCACAATTTTAATTCACATACAGAATGACCCAAAACACATAACACAGATCATTTGGAACCTTTTCTGAAGAGAACATAACTTATTCGCAAAATGTCCAGGATTACTGAAACTTGAGTACAATCATACAAAAACAGAAATTCAAGAGTAAAATCAATTTTTGTAATTTTCATGGAAGTAATTAAGGAATTTATGGGTTATGTCGTTTGAGTGGGGTCACCCTGTAGTTGATGTCCTCTTTTCATTTTTTATTTGACAAATTTTTTATTTTGTCAACCTATATTTAATTAGAAAAAAAGGGCGCTCCAGAAGTGTGTGTACCAATATGAAGGTAACAAATTTTTTCCGCCTACTTTACATCTAGTTGTGTAAAGTTACTGAAACTTATGGGCAGGAGGCATATTCACTTGGCTAACACAGACAGTTCCTTAATTCATAATAGAACTAAAATAAGGAAAATAGGAATTAAATTATTGCCTAACCCTAACCTGGTACACACACTACGGGAGTACCGAAAAATGTATTTTTGTGTATTTATTGCATGTTAAATCTGTCTGTCATATTTTCAATCTGATTTTTTGCTTATGTTTGCTATTCAACAGTAGTTTTCAATGTGAATAATGCATAGTTTTGACCCCAGAAAACGATTTGTGAGTTTATCATCGAACCCAATCCATAATATTCACATTAATATTGCATATTTTTCAGCCGTTAACAGCATTTTTGACTTCGTTAGACAAGATCAGTCTTCCACGATTCCGGAAAGTTTATCAACAGATCGAATGGTGCAAGAAAATTTGTTGGAAAGTCTCGCAAGTGAGTCACTTTATCTGATTTATAACGAACATTCATTATCTTACATGTTTTTCTCAGGAAGACGTTTAGAGAAATATTGACCCATAAGTTTGAAATTGTAGTCTCATTAATAGAACACACTGAATTTGAAATATTTGAAATTAAATTTTCAATTCATAGGTTCGGCAACATTAGTTACTAGTAGCAAATATTTGACGTGCAATGAAATTGTATTTGATCTAATTTCATCTAAATTTATCTATTTTGTGGTATGATTCATTTATGTGCCAGTTTTTATCAATCTGCCATAAGTCATGATTTTTCTACAAAATAGTAAATTTTTAATGAGAGAAAAATACTTTTCATTCTGTGGATTTCGCTGTTGTTTGTTAAACTCAATTCTGATCGTCAAATCCAGCTTGTGTTTATTTCAAATTTTGCTTTTTCAATATTTTGCACCGTTCACCTATATTGGAATTCTTCGTTCCTCCGCACTAGTCACTATGCATAAAAAATGCAAAACAATATTTGTCCAATCTTTAATTGCTTCTTAGCCAGTATTACGCACAACACACACTCTAGCTTTTGCACAGTTTAATTGATTTATAATGTGTCCATAAATATGTATCGTATTGCGATAAATACTAAATAACAAAGCAATGTTAGTGAACCTACACGCATTCAAAGTAATATTTTTGTATTTTTCCCCGAAAGGAACAAACTAACTCCTTGGGGAGGATTCCATCCCAGTTGGGAAACGCTTCTTGGTAGGCTATATCCAATTTTCTTGGAAATTCACTGAATTCGCACTATCGGTTTGAACATGCATAAAGTATGCATATATTGTAAATTTGCTTCGTACCGACGTTCATGTTCCCATCTAAATTGGATTAATAATTTGCTTTATATTGATTTTATTTTTGAATTGGATTTCCACCTTCTTTTGGTTGTATTTTTTTAACGGGTGCTTGATATTCACTACCATTGCATCATGGGCTGTAGGAAATATATGGTGGAAAGTATACTTCTCAAAATGTAAATTAAATTGTATATAAAAATACAGTCATTTTAATTCTTTCAATTCTTCATATGGATATTTTCATATCTATATATCGGTGATTTCAAAATTTTATTTTAATTAAAGGTTATGAATAATTCTGCTCATTGTAAAAGTTTTGTTTTGTATGGAATTTTTTTGATTTATATAAATAATATATATTTTTTGAAAAAGTTTCCACACCAAAGCAAAGTCACATGAACTCACTCAAGGAGTAATCTTCTCTGACAAGAGTCACATGAGACCACGAAAACGCCAATAGCTACTGTAACTATGGTATATAGAAGTACGGTGCAGTGCGCGTTATTAGTAAATTCTGATTGGCGTGACACTTGAAGCCATAGGTGCTGTGACCTAGGAGTTAAAAGCATTTGATTTCGATTGCCATCTGAAGGTTAAAATCACAGGTTTAAATTCCACGCCTACTCGTAGTTTATTAATGAATTGGATGGGCAGTAGCAAACCGAAAAAGTGGTTCTTCGAGACTAGTATTTCCTTGCTCAGTGTCTACATATGTAATGATGCCTTGTTTGGAGGGAAAAGCGTATAAATATGTTGTATAAAAAGGCAATATGATCAGGATAATAGCTACGAGCTAGGAAATTGCAAAAGGCCTTGAAATTTGATGGTTTATAAACCTGCAAGTACAACTGAATGTCATTTTGCTTCTGCAAACCATCAATTTGGTCTATTTTGCAGCATCTAATTCATTTGAAGCTCTTTGACTTCGCCCCAATCCAATTATGAGCGAATTAGACCGTCTTTCACACCTCTATTTTTATTTCTTGCCACAGTTATTTTGGCTTCGTCAACCGAATCCCGTTGGGTATTGAGTTTTCGAGATAGTTTGTATTCGTAGAATTCTATTTTCAGCACATACTTGAATACACCATACAGTACCTGACAGACATTGCCTGACCATGAATGCATATTAAACTGAGTCGCGCTACTGCATTCTTTCATCACTTGCAATTGTCTTGAAAATTGAGAAGTCTGGTTGTCTAGCTACCATTTTCTGGAATTTCCCAATTTGCAAGAAAAAATTTCAGTGGCATATTTTTATAATATAAGAAAGGATAGGCCTATAAATAGTGGTTATTTAAGTGTTTGCATAACTGTGTTGCCATCACAGAATATATCTATGGTTCAGATCCTATGTCCCCATCACACGCATGGTGAATAAATTGCTTAGGCCATGACGAACCGATAAGAAGCTTGTTGTGTGCCGCATGAAAAATAATGAAATTGTATACAGAAATATTTGTTTATGTAATATTATATCATTTGTCTATAAGTATCAATATTATATTACATTTATCTTTCATGAACATTGCATTATGTATCGATGTGTTGTATAAAAAAAGGTCAAGCTTACGATTTTAGAAGTCACTGGTAGTAACAGTAGTTGTTGCTCTTCCCAACTCAAAAAGTAAAAATTAAGTGTTTGTGTTTTTTTTTCGAAGGTATGGATATGACGCCAGATACAAAGGCTGGAATATATTTGCAACAAATAAATGGATCACAACAGGTAGAATTGATTTGAAAAAAACACTTCGAAACCTACTTACTTGTTATCTGGGCTGATGAGTTATAGAAAAGTTACATACGAATCTAAGCTATGAATAAGCAAACAAAATCAAAATATAAATTTGTACTCTGATAGTCTCTAATTTTCAATTTTTAATCCTGATTTGAGTTGAAAAAGTTCAAGACAAATCTTTTGGACCTAAATCAACCACAGACTTAAGAGTCGAAAGTCTTTCTTCAGCTTTTGCCATTGTATAAAATAAACCATTGATCATAATACAATGGAAAATGACACAATTACCTCATATAAACCTCGTCATTCATTCAATAATGAAATCATCAATTATTTGATAATGCTCAGCGCTAGTTATAAGACAGTTTTGTAGTTCTCGCATGGAGAGCGATTCTTGCAAGAGATTTGTATTCAATAACATAGAACCTGATTGTACTGTTTACCCGAGACTTTTATAACGAAATTGTTTTTTGTAACGATAATTAAAGTGCTGTTGGATTTGCACATCTGTACATAAGAATCTGTAGGTCTGAATTTTCATGTTAAGTATAAAATACAATATTTGAATTATTCCATATTATGAATGCAATCTGAAAAATTAATCTTTTTAAATATGGAATATTGATTTTACTCTAAATTGTGTCGGGTTCAACAGAGAACACATCATAGAAGTCAATGTTAATTTAATGAATTTGAAAGGGGGATATACCGGAAACTTAAGATGAGAAGTGATATAATGCGTTCTCTATTTTTTAAGTTTTAGAAATAAATGAAAACATTTTTAGTCATACTGAAAGACTTCAATTGCTCAAAATGAAACTGTCCTAAATTTTCCTGAAATTAAAAATATAAAATATTGAATAAAATAATTTTGAAGGAATTTGAATATAAACTCATTCTGGAAATCCTGTCTCACATTTTATGAACTGATAAGATAAGAACTAATTATTATCATAGATAATTTATTTTGAATGCTCCATAGTACAAGAAAAATTACAAGACACAAAACACACATGATTGAAATTCAGGAAAGTAACCAAAATTGAAGGTTAATAACATAAGACGTAGAAGTACTCACTCTATGATATAGAATATGAGTAAAAACACGATAAGATCATCTCTAATTGAGCTTGTGATAATACATGTATGTAAGTGAAAATTGCCCATTTTATTTGCATCTAAAAGTGAATACTATTAATATATTTTCATTTTGGTTTCAGTTTAAATATATCTATAGCTTCAGTAATTGATTCATTGAACTAGGCATATTGGAAATTACGGCTGATTCATAATGATTGTTATTGATCTGATGGGATTATAGGTACTGAGTATTGCCGTCACCAAATGCTTTCAATACCTCTCTGTACCTTGAACATTTAGCTCTTTTCCCAGTGGAACATTCTCCTTGAATAATAATGAGTTTGAACTTGATTGACCTTGGTTTAAAAAAATGTTCGAGATTAACTATTATTTATTAATAATAAAGATGAATGAAAATAATATATTTTCAAAAAACGGTACAAAATTTGCTCATTATTAGGCTTTTGTATTTTTAAATGTGCTTAATTAATATTTATAGAATAAATTATTGCCCTTGGGGAATTTTCAACTTTTAATGAGAATGGTATTTGGTATTTCATTTAGTAGATCATTACAATTGCCCTTTCACAACAAATGGAGACGAAATCTTGAATGTATCTCACATTTTGAGATAACTCCATACTAGTCGCCAATAACAGTCTTTATCAAAAATGGCAATGGTCAAAATGTCTGTCATTTGACTGACCGTTGTTTTCTCCCAGATGATTCCTGAAAATTTAGAAGAGTCATTATAGATATCATAATGAATTTTGATGAATGTCATATCAAGGTGTGCCCATTGTTATTAAAAAGTAAAACTTGAGGTGAAATGCCAGAACCAGCACAACTAAAAACATTCTGGAAAAATATAAAAATAATATAATCTTTATAAGGGCAGTAAAGCTGTATACAGGAAAAAGCAAGCAATTTTGAGATTTAGATGTATCTGGTGATTCTTAGTCATAATAATTTCACTACTTTTCATCTCTAATAACTATTGTTTTATTAACTTTTTCCATTTTACTTTTTTAGAATTCAAAAAATTTGAATAACGCGATTGTTCAGAGCACACCAGAGCTTGCAAGTCTGTTACAAAAACAATCGCCGAATAAAAACCTACAAAAAAGTGCGAAACAGGAACCACGATGGAATGACAAGGTACCGAAAAATCTTGTTATTGTACTTACTGCCAGCTTTGATCTGCTACTTCTTCATAAACCTCTATCTGAAATCTTTTTCTTCTTAAGTTAGTGTCAGAAGTTTCAGTATACTGTTAGTGTTCTTGGATTGAAAGGATCCAAGGATTGAAACTGCTTTCATAGAAAGAAAAAAAGCATTTTGTCTATGTAAATGTAAAAAAATCTCGTCGAGCATGAGTATATCCAATCCATTCGAACAAAATTCTCCAACATTTCTAGTAGCAAATATGAAACACTATAAATTGTTACAAGTCATGCATTGTAAACCAAGTCTATGCCATAAAAGAAAGAAAAAAAATTGATACAATATGAGATATAGAGAAGTAAATCTTACATGTAAAATATGAAACACTCATTTTTTTTGGACAAATAAATATACATTTTTATTTTCAGGGTCCCTACCCGTACCCAGATTACCAGAACCCACAAATGATACCTCAGGTGCCTATGCAGTCACCCCCACAGGTAGATTTTATTCTAATAGAATAAAAACTAAATAAAAAAATTAGTGACAACCAGAGCATGAAAGACAAGAGATGAGAAAGTGGCTGTCTCCTTTTCCCAAAGTAATGAAGGCACCGGGCAAATGGTGTGAGATTTAATGCAGCACCAAGAGCAAAAATCATTGTATTTTCACCCATGTCTTTTTGAACTGTCGGATAGGGATTTTATGCTTGATGGGAAGAAATCTGAGTGTTGGAAAGGGCCACACTGAAGGGCTTGGCCGCCTGTTGCATATCCCTGCTCTAAATTCTGAATCATTCAAACACAACTCAGAGTCCTACACCAATGGCCGCCTGTCGCATATCCCTGCTCTAAATTCTGAATCATTCAAACACAACTCAGAGTCCTACACCAATGGCCGCCTGTTGCATATCCCTGCTCTAAATTCTGAATCATTCAAACACAACTCAGAGTCCTACACCAATGGCCGCCTGTTGCATATCCCTGCTCTAAATTCTGAATCATTCAAACACAACTCAGAGTCCTACACCAATGGCCGCCTGTTGCATATCCCTGCTCTAAATTCTGAATCATTCAAACACAACTCAGAGTCCTACACCAATGGCCGCCTGTTGCATATCCCTGCTCTAAATTCTGAATCATTCAAACACAACTCAGACTCCTACACCAAGTTGAAGGAAATATACTCTGACATCATCCCAACACAAAGAAAGCCAAATTTTGACCAAAAAAGCCTTGGTGTGGGCAAACCTTCTTTATTAGTTGTCTATTGATACTCCTAAACTCCACAAAGTTTTTAAATACAACTTCGTCTCTAATTTTAAATTTAATAGAAACATACCAAACTCCGTTACCCCTACCTCACAGTCTTGATTTAATAACCCAATCCCATTTTAGTCCTCTTGGTAGATGTTAATGCGGAAAAAAATTTTGCATAAGCTATTTATACACTACTACTATTTTCCATAATTGATTTTTGGTATGTGATAGACGAACGATCAAAATAAAATTGTATTCCAAAGTTTGGAATACTACCATGATAAAACACGAAAAAAAAATATGATTCATCATATTATTTGCGAGACAATAAATTTCTTTCATCGTTAATTATTATCAGAATGATCGCTTCCAAATTCTGTCTATGCTCTCTGTATCACATTTTCACCCTTAATTTGTCAAAAATGGTAGAGTCCTTCGCCCTGTCAATCTATTCAGAAAAGCCACTTTCAAATGATGTCTGGTAGTATAAATATCTGATGATATTTGTGTATTTTTTTGTTTTTTTGTCGATTCACATACCGGTACTTTTTTATTTTAGTACAAAAGTTCATTGCAACAGGGAATAAACGAAGACAAACCATTATATCATTTTGTGAGGAGACCGATACGACAAAATGATTCACTTTATGGACAGCCTTTGTCTATTCAAGTTCAACAGCAGCAACAGGTAATATGTCACACTAAGCAGTTACGAAATAAGCAGGTTCATAGGGTATGATTCTACATATTTATTCAAAGGGAGTGGAAAGTCAATAAGAAGGCTCATTAATCATATGACGAACCACAGCCTCTGCGTCCAGTTAACAAGTCTGTCGGGTATGGGATTAGATAGTTACGTTTCAGATGCATGGACGTGATGGTGGAGCCATATCCGATCAGTGGTTACTTGATTCCCCCTATGGTGGCGAGGATTCCAGGAATCTTCTCGCACACATAATTATCCGCCACAGGATTCAAACCAACGCAGGGTAATCAGAGGTGCGATGCAGAGCGTATTCCTAACGCCACACCTCCGAGCTCGCTATCAGTTCGTATTCCGGAAATTTTTCTGAATTCTAGTGATTTATTGCACCATTTTGACAACATTGTTTTTTTTTTAGACAAACTATATTCAGCAACAGCAAAGAATGCAGCCATACATGACTGGTCAGCAACAAATGGTAAGTCTTTGATTTTATATGTTTAATATACCTTGAGTCAGGGATGTTGAACCTTCGCAAAGGTTACAAGATGCCCCGCCGTGCTTTCTTGTTTACCCGCCAAATCACTAATTCAACATTTCAATAAAAAAAAAATGGATAATAAAAACAGCCTTCATCCAATCTAATATGTGGATTACTACCGGTAAAGTGATATCATCTTCAATATGGACAATACAATGGCAAAATGGAAGGACATTTATTTTATAATAACAAGTAGTGATGATTGATGTTTAATAATATTCCTTTTGCTGCGGGTATTTCCAGTGCTTATGCATACAGGCACTGGAAAGATAAGAAAAATTTTACATTGTGTGGCCCGTGGAGAACTGCCAACTTTGAATAGCTTGCGGCCCACAAAACTAGTTTTCAATTTAGTTTAATCTGGTATCTGTGAGCAATTCTAATCATTTTGCATTGCAAAGCCTATACCCGAGCCCAATTTATATCTATGACTTTACAGTATCCTAACGGCTAGCTTGTGCGAGCTAGAATGCTTATGTGAAAGATAAAGATGCGGCCTGCGGTTTTACTGAGTTATTTGTATCTGGCCCTCCTGTATTGAAGGTTGCACACCCCTGAAATTTTACATCTGTTTTTTTTTTATCAGGTACAAACAGACAACCAACAACCTCAGCCTCCACCACAGTATGATTCAATGTTACAAATAGATCAAGCCAACTTTCCGTCGGATCTCGCAAATTTAGATAATCAACAGGTCTTCGATTCTGGCGATCTGGACATGAATGCTGTTTTGAGTGACATTCCATCGCCGTATAATTTTGGATTGGATTTTGACAGCGGTGGAAAACCAGCAAGCTATTTCAACCAGTGTCAAACACAAATGCAAGATACTGGTTGGTAACATTATTATGTAAAAATTTGGCTTCTCGTTGTGTCGCGTATCCACAACATCACCCCAAGCAAGTCGTTGTACAATATGTCATTGATAAGCAAGAAGCTGCTATTATTTGTCGAAATCTTAAATATTCAGAATGTTCTCATTCTGTTTCCTGTTAGATTACTATCTATCCTATCCTACATTTTCTGGAAAAATTTGTTCCAGATTCTAATTTCACTGCAAACATGTCAAATCAACAGAAAAAATGTAATTTTTTATTAGAAAAGTACATTTTTCAATATTATCGATTTTGGATTTATTTCAAACTAAGTTGAAATACTTCAAATTTGAATTCTTCAGAAATAACACAGTGCTGTACTGATTGCAATGAGTGTTTTTGAAATGTTTGCAAGCAGGTGTTTTGAATATTGTAGCTAGAATGGTAAATAAATGAAATTTATTTCTTGAAAGGTGATTATAACATGGGAATGAATGGAAATAATAACATGATGGATACTGGAATGCCACAACAGCAACAACAACTCACAATGCATCCAAATCCTGATGTTTTTATCACCAACACTGGCCCTGGTAAGTTGATGAAACCTTACTGAAGAATAAACATATCGACTGATCTTTGATTTGCGCTTGGTTATTTTCCACTAATATTGAGTTTCAGCAAGTGTGATTTTATCAGGATTTTTGTAAAATTTTATAACATAGTCTTGAAGCTGGAACATTCCTAAGCGTAGTCTGCCCTTTGTTAGTCTCTATTAAAATTGTACTTTGTGTTATGTCATTGGTAATACTTAAGATTAGGACTATAAAAAAGAAACAGCAACTTTTGAAACGCTGGAGTTGTCAGCATCTTACTAATAGGCTACTCTAAACCAGGAGTGTGCAACCTTTAATACAGGAAGGCCAAATACAAATAACTGGTTGAAACTGCGGGCCGTACCTTTATTCAACATGGGCTTTCTAGTAGTTGCTAGTAGTAAAAATTTTGGTTATTGATCTTATGACATGCATTGTTAGCTGCTTGGGCTTAGTAACATCCCAGAAAATAAATTAGACTCAGGTATAGGCTTTGCATCACAAAGGGATGGTAATTACTCTCACATACCAGATTAAAATGAATTATAAACTCGCGGGCCGCACACCATCCCAATTTGACACTTCTCTGTGGGCCGCATAATTTTTCCTATTTGGCCGCATTTGGCCCGCAGTTTGAACATCCCTGCTCTACGTTGTCTTCAGTATTACTGATATTGTTTTGTTATTTAGTATAATTGTAATGCACATAAAATATGCATGCATAACCTAGAATACAAGTTACACATATCACAAGCAAATGTACCGTTAAAGATTGAATAACAAATGCAAATAGAGTTTTATCCTTGATTGGGATAAATTAGGAACTCACAAATTTATATTTTGTAATCTACTCCGCTTCAGCTTCACAATTTTTACTTTGCTAAAATTGAAAAGAACAATCCCTGATATATCAATACCCAATGTATTGCTGTCACAAATTCTTAGTGAGGACTTAGTGAGTACCTGGTGGCTCATTAGTTATTATTTATCAGCAACCTAGTTTTTTATTTCCCTCATGTCTCTTACATGGTATTGCTGAGGCATTGAGCCCAACTATGGGTAAAATATGGTTCTGGTTCAATCCCATTGCTTACAACCTAGAGTTTAATAAGTTGGGCACTGATGAACAGGAAAGATTATTGTCCTAAAATAGTGTTAATTACACATCAATAGCTTCTAGTTTTTGAATCATTTATTCTGGTACCTGTGAGCAATTCATCCCTTTGCGTTGCAAAGCCTATACCCGAGTTCAATTTATTATCTATGCCTATGATGTTACAATGCCATAAATACAGCTTGCTTGTGTGAGCTAGAATGCATATGTTAAATATAAGTGTGTTTCACCAAGTTATTTGTATCTGGCCATCCTGTATTAAAGATTGCACACCCCTGCTCTAGAGTACTGTTCATAGTGAAAGTGCGAAAAGCCTCACTAAAACTTAAAATTAATTTTTTATTTCCTATTTTTCAGGATCAACCTCTGTGGACCTGATGATGATGGATGGTTGTCGCATGAACAATGCTAGTTTTCAACGAATGCAGACAACACAGCAGCCTTCCTCTGTTGGTGCATCTAGCTACTCCATGCAGTAACTCATGGAAAGAATTTGACGTTTGTAAAAAGAAATCTTATCAGGAAAATGTACATTTTCAAGCCTGTGCCATGTATAATAGAACTGTCTTGTAGGCAGATTTCATACATGGTTTTTGACTGATAACAGAGGCCCAAGTTCAATATGTGCTTTTGTCGAAGGTGCTGATGACATGTTATTGGTGCAAATTCTGTTTTACGTTGCAAATGTGAGTACTTCTCTACACGGCTAAGGGCTCTTTATTGATGCCAATGTATCAATATTAGTTTCAGCAGATTTCTGGTTAAGTTTCATGAGAATAGTCACTTGAATCTAAATACTATTAATGAATAATAAATTTTTCATTTCCCTGATGTTGGTATTTTTTGTCATTCACCCATGTAGGTCTGTAAACTTGTCTAGAAAATTGATAATCAGAGTTTCTGAATCAGGCTGTATACGTCTTGTCCATGTATGAAAACCTGATTTACAAATATTTCAGGATAATCTAATATGATTCATATTGGAGAAAATCAGATTTCCAATAATTTTTCAACTTTTTCGAAGAACTTTATACATACAAATTTTGTTGAAAGGCTTCACTTGGCTGTTTCAAAATGTCTCAATAAGACAGTAATGAGACACTATTTAATGCATTGTTGAATTCTGATGAAATTTGTTTAAAATTTCTTGTGTTAGTCTTTGGCCTAGTTTTTCTTGCGAGTAGGCCTAAATCAGTTATAATTCTTTAGTTTTTAATTCCCATTCCTTTATGTTAATCTTATTCATTGTATCCATATGTAATTAGCTGTACAAGTGTACCCGTAATATCACACGATATGTGTGTGAAGGTGTAACCTTTTCGTTTTCATTTTTGTTGCATGAAGCCAAAGTTCTCCGTTAGTGACGGAAATAATTTGCCTCATTCGGTACAATCAGGTTATCTATTTTTCTTTTTTTTTTTGCAAAGGGAAATTGAAACTTTTATTTGTATACAATCACATTATATAAGATCAAGTGGTTGGTTCTCAAGCTTTATAGCCCCCTTTTTGAAAATTGTCAAGTCTCGCGCCTCACCTCAAAAATAACTACCGGTAGCTGACAACAAGCTACAAATAACAGATAGTAAGGCGAAGAGAGGTTTTATTCAAAACACCCATTGAAAATATGTGGCTGGAACTAAAATAATGAAACAAGAAGAGCTGTGACATGTAAATATCCAAAATATGACGGGAACAATCAGATCTAACAGATATTTTTTCAGTTTCACGCCCCCTCAAAAAATTGTCCACGCCTCCTTTGTGGGGCGAGCCCTACCGTTTGAGAACCACTGTCTTAGACAGAAAATATATCTGTCTTCTATATTTGCTATCTGGAACAGTTGTAAGATTGGAATTTCCAAACCAAGCTCGTAACGGCACATAAGTTTGATTGCCTTCCATCATCTCGATATAAATGTGAAAATCGTATTGAAAAGTCTACCCAAAAATTTTTTTCTGATTACATTAGAAATTTTTTTTCTTTGCTATTTTGAAGAAAATTGTTGAATATGTTTTCTTTGAGTCTGCCATTCACTGGATTTATGGCTTATGCTCTGCAAAGTTCAATTATGACTTACTTTTAACAATGCCTGACTTCATAAACACCCGTACCCGACTGATTTGTAACCATGTTGTGATATACCTGATTCATATTTGGCATTTTTAATATTTACAAGCAATAAATTTGCATTATGATGTTACGTTCATTGATTATATTTTTTCCTTCTGTTCCTCATGTCCGTAATCGCAAATTGTGCGAAATTTTCCACCGGTTTCTCGTTTTCATCAATTTTTCTGTAAGTTTTGGTGTTTTTTATCTTTTCCTGTTCTTTTTTTTTTGCCTAATGAAATTTTGTGATCATCTTTTTTACTGCTGTTTCATCAGCATTTTACAAAGTATGTTGTTGTTTTGTACAGGTTTTAGTTTGTTTTAATGAAAATTTTGATTTATTTTCATATCCAATTTTGAGGTTTTGAGATAGGTCAGTTTTCCTAAAAAGTTTCATTCAATACAGGGGTGGGGAACCAGAGTCTCGCAATATTATTTGATTTTGCCAGGAAATATTCATGTAAAAGTGTTCGTTTCAGATAGGTTTTGCATAGCGACATTTTTGTAGTTACCATTCTTTTGAATTTTTTCATTTAGTTGTTGTAATAACAAGTGGGTCTGCTCTCGATTTATTCAGAAACCGCAATGATCGTAAAAAATAGCAATCTAAAAATTGAAAGTAGCAAAATCTTTTTATATTAATGTTTCTGAAGTAATGAATGTGCTATAAAAATTTGGCACGAGATATTACGAAAAGTGCTGTGCAACCTGTAGCAATTTGTGGTTCCCCACCCTTGACTTATTAGGTTAAAATGGTAGTAATGACCTTTTTCACTTATTGTTAAAGCATGATTCTGGTACATATGTTACATTGACTGACCATGTTTTTAAACCTCGACCTTAAACTCGAATTCTGACAAATTTTAAAATACAAAAGAATAATTTATCTGTGGACATCTTTGAATATGACAGTTATTCCACAATTTTTTCTGCTCAAATTCAAACAGTTTTTTTTTCCTGGAAGTTATTAAAAACCTTTTATTTCATAGCTAATTTTGACGATTTTCATATAAGGGATGGCAATGGGTTATGTTTGAAAACAATTCTATTTTCATCATGGCACACTTGTGTAGTGTTCGACATGTCTTTTACAAATAGTTATTCTGGTTTATACAACTCCCTTTTTTAATTAACATAATTTGGGCCATAATATTTACAAGACAATCAGTTTAGATTGAATAGTTGTACTTACCAATTGTCTATGGTCAAGCTCTCTGATAACATTTTTATGGAAATATCGAATTTGCTCTGATCATCATGTTTTGCTCAATTCAGGTTGTCCATTACACTGCCCCCAAGATAATTTGTCTTCGGTCAAGAACGTATGATCGTTTTTATGTCACCACAGGGTTTCTGTGGTTTTTGTATAAATGTATGATTTTCTCTTTCATGATTTGGTTAAATGATGTAATTTTTACTTGTATCTAAAGTTTATTTTTTCATGTGCTCACTTTTACTTGATGAAAAAACGTAATTTGAATTGAACTAACAAGACTTTGTAGATATTTCTCTATACATATATATATAATTCGATATTGTCGTAAATCATGTATGTAACGTATAGTTGCGCTTTTTGTAGCTCTAGCGTTGTAGGTTCTTATCATTCATGTTGTTTGGTGCTTAATCATCCTTTTAACGATGATTCTGCACTTTTTTTTGTTTTTTGAATAACTTTTTGTCCTATTTGCTTACATGTTTCGCATTCAGATTGGTTCTTGATAATCTTCCACAGTATTTTAAGTAAGGTGCTCAAGCAGTTTTATAGTTTGATAATGTGATGAATTTACTTTTGGCATTCACAGGCGACGGCATTTGCAGTATAAAATTTTGTTCATCTTTTTGAATTACAGATCACTCTTCGATTCAAGATTAAGGACCATGTACAAAGCATATATCATTGCATAGTGATACAAGCTTAGCAAAGATGTTTCTATAATGTATATGTCTAGAATATGTTTAAAAAAAAAAAATTTAGTACTTTTTCGATGCCATCTTGATTAGTAAATTACCCACCAGGTAGATGGATGAAATGGATAGTATATAAATTAAAACAAACATTTTCATGTTTTTGCTCTTTCAATGTGTACCAAGTATCTGTTTTTTGTCCATGGATATGGCTAAGCTTAGAATATATTACATATTTGAAAATAATTTTTCTGAGTGTATTTCAAATAGTAAATTAGTAGGTTTTGGAAGTCTGGGTGCTACTTACCGATTTTATTAGGATTATTCTCTTGGTAACATATACAGTATGCACGCACGCACGTAGCGCTACGATATGTTGTCTGTGTTTTTATGTCAATGATATGTAATTTTGTAGTTTTAAATACCACCGGAATATCTTTCTTTCTCAAATAAGAATTATCATTCCGAATGCCGTCTGCGTCATTTGTGTTGTATACCGCGTTTCCTGGCAACGATTAACTATATAATGTTCGTAACGTAATTTATTTATATACCATAACTCGCAATGCTCCTGTTAATCTACAGGCGTAGGCGTTCAGAACTTTGGTTTTTACTCAATAATTGCTTCAAATAAGTCGATTGATGAGACAGGCGATCATATGTAATTCTGGTCGTTTCCAACGCCGACGGCGTTGTTTTATCGGGTTTGATGAATGTGGGTACCCCCTGATCGTTGCCCTGAAGTATTACGACACAGCACAAAGGCCTTTATCGTATATGTTATGCGTTAATATTTAATTGACAGCATCTAAACAGTGACGTCACACGAAATATATTAAGAATCGCGGCGTATTAATCAAAATTTGGAGCCTATGTCACAATATCTACTGGATACTTCCTTTTGCGTATATAATAATGATTTCTCAATTGTTGTGATGGCTCATTCTTTAATGAACTTGAGAGAGAGAAATTGGCGGGTCTCCAGAGCAATCATATATTACCTGGGCGAGTGCGACCGGTACAAAATACTCGACTATCTAAAAGATATTTTTTTGATTAAAAACAACATCAAAGTGTGGCAACAATTCTTGCTAAATAAATGAGTTGTTACTAAAATGCGGAAATGCATGCCTGGATGTGATCCAAATGCAGTCATGCGTGGCGACGTAAACACCTCAGAAAACGTGGACTGCCGAGGTCAGGATAAGATTTCTCCGGGCTGAGCGATGACTGTTCCAACGCACGCGTTTCTCAGCAAATGGCAAGAAGTTTGCTTAAACGAGACTCCAGAAAGTGTTTCGTCAATCTCTACAGAAAGGTATGTTCCTCAGCCTTTGGATAATAGATCTCATATTGTTTGCAATCGGCTTTTCGTAGGAGGATTCCCTCCCGGGACCTCGTCCAAGGAGCTGATCAATGTTTTCAGCCACTACGGAAAAGTGATTAGCTGCAATGTCATGTCTGAAGACGAGAATAAAAACTACGGTTTCGTTACTTTCCAAGATGTGGGCGCGGCCCAGGCCGTCCTAGACATTTCTTCCAAAAAGAGAGCATTTTTTCTACGTGGGCATGCTTTAAAAATAAAGCGTGCGGTTTTCAAGCCTAGGAAGTCGGGACATGTGACAGAGGAAACGGCGTCGTACCGTGGAAAGCATGACATAGTTCGGTATTATGGAAGGTCGACACAGTTTGAGTTTTTTGGAGAAAAAATAGGAGGGTATCCTATTCCTAGCGACATCCCAGCAGCTCCTAGCTTTCCAGTGTGGCATCCAGATACAGCGTTTGCTTCCCAACAAGCTGGGATATCTCCTATGGCGTCAGTCGTAAACTTTGTGCCAGTCACGCATGTTTACCTACCGGTATCGTATATTCAAAGCTGCTCTATTCCCACGCAAGCAAAGGCACCATCATGTGCGGCAATACAAAATTATCTTAATCCAATGTGACGCTTACATGACTGATCATATACATGTCTTGTGTACTTAGCACTATTGTATATACTTATTTTGCCTGCTGAGAGGATTTTATATCCTACTTTTTACAGTTATATAATCAATCACACCAAGTTTTTTGTTTATTCACATCATGTCACTTTATATGTTATTTTCTATACCGGCAACACAATTATGTTTCTTTTCCTTTATATTCATTTCTCTCGTATACCCTATTTATTTTCTGAAATATACTGAATTCGAGTTTGTTTGGTACTATGGATGTGTGATACAGGTATAACAGTTTGGGGTATGAAAAGTACAAGTGAGGTCTCAACATATTTTTTTACCTGTGTGTTCAAAATACTTCTGAAAGGGAACGCTGAAAATATCAAACAAAATGCAAAACTTATTAGACGTGAAGTAGTACTTTTCGCTGGGAAAAGTCGCCTTTGTTTCAATACGTGCCGACGCACACGTTTAAGCATTTATTTTTTGTACATTATTATAATTAAAAGGGAAATGATAAAAGCGAGTTTCTCTAAAAAAGATTTCGCGACGGAAATCGAATTGCTTGAAATTCGAATAATATATATGTGAAATATTGTTGCGTAGCTGGCATGTTAGCTCGTTATGTATAAATATATTCAGTAAATTTAAATATTGAATCGCTGAAAATTGTTTATTATGAAATTATGCGCAAGAATAATCGAAGCAACGACACTATTTTGCCCTGTTATGTGAGTTATTATATTTCGGCGACACTTATTTAATACAATGTCGAACATCATCCAGTAATCATAATTTTGGACGACAGGTTCCTCAGTTGTAAAATGAAACATCTGTAACACAGTTTGACCATACGATCAACCCCAATCGGATCCTATTGCAAAACACGCTTTCAGTTTAACAGGACCAATGCTTATATGAACACCCACTATTTCAGATGAACTAATTTAATCATTATAGATTAGATGGGAAAACTTGGCTTGATGAAAAATGTGATAATTCTATAGCTGACAAAGTTGAAGCCCAAAGCAAACTTGAATTTCTTTAGTGTTTTGCAGTCATGTCAATACTCTTTCTAGGATTCCGGCGTAAATATATGCTGGGATTTTTAATTTTGCATGCTAAATATACAGTAAGTTCAACTAATTAGGACAGGGAAGCCAATAAGACGGTTTCATTAACTTGTAACGCTTAGGAATATCCCAGTTAACCAATCAATATGGGGAAAAATGTGGGTTCGTGAAAATAAATTATAACAATTTTCAACTAATTTGACCTAGGGTTAGTTCGGATACCTATAAAGTACAATTTATATTATCCGGATAACGGATATATCCGGGTATTTCGTATTTAAACCATTCGGTTAATCGGATAGTTACTGCTTAATTCAGAAAATCGATTTCACAAGATTTTTGCGGCGAATTGACTAAAAACCACCACACAGTTCTATTGTAAATACGTACATATGTATTATTTTTCTCGAATAAAAATGATTGTGCATTTTGATGTTGCATGTGTCAATAAATAAAAAATTAAGCTCTGTAATCGTACAGAAGTACAGCTGAATAATATGATAAAATATTTTTTTAAATACTGTGTCCTAATTGTCTTTCCCTCGACTGCTAAGTTATTTTTTCATATTCAAATCCTATGTAAAAATTCATATTATTCCTTTTTTATTGTTGAATTTTTTTTTTGTGTCTAGAGCATATTTTCTGCAAATGTTGACTCGTACTAAATTTTGGTGTGGCAGACTCACGATGACATTTCTTTAAGCTTTTAAGTTCAATTAGTTTAACATACACCTGATTTAGATAAAATAGATTTATTTCGGCTGGTGTATATATCTATTGATTCGGTTGATACATGGAAATTTGAAAAAACATAAATACCAAAGTTGAAAACAAGCACATAACATTTGGTCGTGTACCCAAAATTTTGAAATGCTACACAGCTTACATAGAATATAATAGGAAGTATTGTGAAATGAGTCCTCGAAATTCAAACTGGTTTACTTCATGATGAAATGCGTTCCTTCAATACGCGGAACAACTAAGCCACACCCGACGAAAAATCAACAAACTCACACCCACCCTACCAATGCTTTTCACCTGAATTCGGTTAAATTAGTCTTGCTTAAACTGTACCTCCAGTTCCAGTCTAACTTTATAAACAAAGCGAATAAGCTCTGCTAATGGACCTTTCCCCGAGCATCGACTTCCTTGTTTACTTCGTGACATTTGCCAATCAGCAAGATGCAGAAAGTGACGTAACAATGCTCCCTTCTTGCATCCGCTCAGACACTTTTCTCACTCAGACAGATTTTCAAGCGTTGTCGTAAACATTATCTGGTTTTCGCGATTTTGAACTCCATTCGTTAGTTTTCAGTTGTGTTTCGGAAACTTATATATAAATCAGATAATTCAATGATCACTCTATCTTCCTAGGAGTTTTAATTTAATTGCAGTAATAAAAAATTAGTGAAGAAATAGCTGTGATAGACTAGGCTAAAATTCTTTACCGGTACTTTTAAAAAACAGATTGTTGTATGCAATGAATCATAATGATGATTTGAAACACATACCCAATTTTACAGGCGCCAACTCGCAAAAGCACTCTTAAAATAGCCCCGAACATTTTGCAATGGTAAAGTATAGGACAGTGGTTCTTAAACTTTTTCAAGCGCGACCCAAATCTGAGTTTTATGAATACTCGCGACCCAATCCTAAAAAACGCAAAATGTGTTTTTAATGTTAGTACAGTTTGACTCAAATACAGACAACTATTTATTAGAAACAGTCCATTGACTCAGTGAGATTGATGAAACTGAAATTTCCTTTTTCATTATATCTTCAATACAGAGCTCTATTTTACTTAACGCAATACGCAAGTTGTCACGGGTATCGAAGCGATTGCGAGCTTAGTTTTGATAACCGTCAGTGCCAAATATCCTCGCTCGCACAAGTGCCTTGTCGCGAATTGTAGCAGAAAAGGCGTCCGCTGTCCGTCGCAAACACGACATCCTAGCTGGCATTCGGTATCTCTCGCAATATACAACTTTTTACTCGTCACATGTGCACGCACTGCTTCGTTCGCGGTAAATGGTGCCTCGAGATGAAGTCACATTTTCTCTAGATATTGAATAATCTAATGTCGAGAAGCGAGCTTTTTCATTGCGTCGTCTATTACAATTTTCATTACCAAAAAGACACCTATTTTTGGTTATTTTAATCCACTAAGACGACATTCCATGCGGTCAACACAACGACAAGCGACGTGCATGGTTACCGATACCATAAAAATAATACACGTGACTGGCATATCAGAATTGTGATGTAACAATGAGATCAAGACAGTTCTTTCTGTGAATGAAATTTTTTATTTCATTATTTTTAAATACCAGAGTTTAGAAGCTAAATTGAAACATTGGGAAAGCTGAAAATTCGTCCCTCTCCTTTTAGATTGCCCTTGCATTGACGACCTTGTCGCGACCCATTTTAAACCTTCCGCGACCCATGTTTGGGTCGCGACCACTGAACTGGAAATATATATCTTTATATAATATATATATTTATATATCTCTGTGGTCGCGACCCATACTTTAAGAACCACTGGTATAGGAAGATATTTCGAGGGTCAAAGGTCGGGGAAAGGTCCATAAGCGCAATAATCACATTTGTTTTGCGTGTTTTGTGATGTTATAGTGAAGTTCACTCCAGTCTACGGATAGCTAAGCCTAAAATAAAGGCAGATTAGTGTGGAAAAAGTTGTTATTATATGCTCTGGGAGATGTCAGTCACCACCAACGACTAACATACGTCACCACTCAACAAAAAATATAAAAATCGCCAATGCGCATACGCTGCATTATTTATACTGCTCTATTATCCGGTTAACCGTCACAATATTACCCGGATATCAGATAGCAGAATCACTTATGGTTATCCGGTTAACCGCTATCCGGATAATCCAATCCTACTTTGACCGTACTATCTACGCTTTGACAAAATCACTGCTCTATAATCTTCTCTTCCACTAGGAGGCAACTCGAAACCGTGGTCATAGCGGTTGCCAGGCAACGAGCGAACTCGCTTTGTTATTTCGTGCTTCCTTTCAGACGTTATTTCTGCGTCGGCTGATCTTTCCTGGGTTGCTGGTTATACGTCAGTGCGGTAATAATGAATATTATAACTTTACAACTTTGTATACCTACTTGTATACTGCAGTATAATAACCTCATAAAGGATAGCAATGTTGTTGTTCAGCGCTTTAGTTCGAATTAGCTTATATGGGAATAAATTGATGTGCGATATTCAGATATTAGTATAAGTATGAGTTTATCTCGACTCCCTATTGCAGTATTGTTTCCGTGCGATAACTACTCCTACTAATATATGAATGGTAACAAAATGATTAGAACATAACTTAGTTAAACTCACAATAGCTGCCTAAGTTTGGGAGTACAAGTCGCGTATGATATTTAAATTATCATTGGTCATCATAAATTATCATCATACCTGTTCATTTGGTGTTCAAGCATATTCAGAAACAAGTGATCTGCAACTAAACAAAGCAAGTTCATAAGTTAAATTGTAGTCCTGTTAATATCTTATTGATATTCGGCAATTACACGTACCATTCTTATATTACAGATTATTTTAGATACATTATTGGATATATAATATTTCTTACAATATTAGTCACACATTGTGTAAACAAAAACAACAAAAAAAGCCTTTAGGGTCTTTACTTTATCGTCTAGCTGCATTGTTCTAATCTTCACTACTGTATTTAGCGACATAATTCATCGTTATTCAGTAACAATGTCTCTAGCACCAATGGAAACAACAGGATTTACATTGAAAGCTTACATGAAAAATTCAAAGGTAAAGTCAGGTTTTTTTGCAGCGAATTCAAAAACTTATGAAATTGTTAGAGTGGCACAATACTGTTTTTCAACGATGCTTTAATTCATTCATAACGTATCATGTTTTGTGCATTTTCATAATTTGGACCACCTAGCTAATAAATTCATAAAGTACGTGGGCGATCAAAATTTTTACTCATATTATCGGTATTTGCAAACTTTACTCAGGATATAGGCCAAATAGACTGTGGTTACATAGACAGACTATTACTTTGCCCATAATATTATGTGTAGTGTGTAATGAAATTTACTTGAAGCTATACAGAACAAACATTTCAAATTGCTATTCCATCATATTTAACCAAACATAACAATTTATATAATATGCAAACAGTTCAGTTTAAGATATTCTCTTTTGTATATATCTATCTGTGTTAAGAACTTGATTTCTTGCGTCCCATTTTGTTTATTTATTATTTTTGCTATGTTTTGAAAAATTAGTATTAGTAAATGATTTTTGTTACTTATTTTAATTTAACTTACTTTTATTTTATTATATTACCTCTAGGTGGTTGGTCCACAACCAGCTGGAGCTTTTAGACAAAGACCAGCAAGACCAACAGCTTTCAGGAAATTTTACGAACGTGGTGATTTTCCTATTGCACTTGAGCATGATACGAAAGGAAACAGGATTGCTTGGAAAGTACGCTGTTTTTTGCAATATTAGTTAAATATCTCTTGAAAAACGGATTGTGTGTGGATAATAAGTTTTTTTTTAGTCAAATTTGATCAAATATATAATACTGTAATCCATGCATGATTCTAATGAATATAGAGGTACTGCAAAGCCGCAATTGGGTTGTTTATGAACATTGTGCTAATTTTTTAGCTTTTTCGACTTCATATTATAACTAGTTAAATAAATGTACCGGTAATTATAAATTAAATCTTGTTTTAGGTGGAGATAGAAAAACTGGATTATCATCACTACCTTCCCTTATTTTTTGATGGACTCTGTGAAACCTCTCATCCATATGAATTTTTTGCTCGACAAGGAGTTCATGACATGCTTGAACATGGAGGATCAAAGATTCTACCTGTCATTCCACAACTTATCATTCCAATTAAGAGTAAGCTCATTTTACTGGTTTTTTACTTCAATAAAAACTTGAATATTACAATCATGTTTGATAATGATTAAGGTTAGTTTTCAGTCTTGAACATTTCAATTAAAGGTATATTTAATATCAATATTGGTGAGTTCAAATGACTCTGGTTAGGTTGTGTCAAATGTCATCTATAAACGGCTCGATCTGACTTGTAATTGTTACTTTTGCTGGTGGACAAAACTGATAGAAAAGGTTTAACAATATCCAAAAATTACAAAAAAATATTTTTTTTGAAAATATTGAATGGCTGTGAAATTGTGAATTGTGATATTTGTCTATTTCTAATCAAACAAATTTTGTTTGTTTCCTTAACTTATTCAAACAAGACAGTGGGTATTAGATGATTGTTTGATTTCAGCTTTTGTCTGCAGTTCTATTTTCGCATCGCAATTTGGTATGAAATCTTATTTCATATTCTCACTTTGACATCTCATTTTGCTTTGAACTATCCATTTTATATTATTCTTTCTTTTAGATGCTTTAAATACAAGGAATCGCCCAGTCATATGCACAACACTCAAAGTTCTTCAGCATCTGGTTGTATCGGGTGATATGGTTGGAGAAGCTCTTGTGCCCTATTACAGACAAATCCTTCCCATTTTGAATATTTTTAAGAACAAGAATCGTAAGTCCCTTGAGTCTTTGATTTTTAAGATTGAGTAATTTTTTGTAAGTCAGTCAGTCAGTAGTTTATTTTATCACAAACCGAATGTAAACATTGACGAACAAAATTAAGAAAAATAAAAAATTACATTTCAGTGGATGTAATATTCTTAGTTTTGTTACCAGTTTTGTTTTGTTGAAATATAACACAGCAAGCATTTCAAGGAAAATCCCTTGCTGCATCATTGGTGATAAATAATGATTTTAGTGAAACACATAACGTTGATGACATTTTTGTGAGTAATCTAGAACCATATTTTTAAATTTTTACAAAAACTTCACTTATTTATCTGAAATTACCTGAGTACTGTTTGTTATAATATAAAATTTTTTCTTCTTTTCATTAAATTCTAGGTAACTCCGGTGATGGAATTGACTACAGCCAACAGAAGAGAGAAAACATTGGAGATCTCATCCAGGAGACATTGGAAGCGTTTGAGAGACATGGTGGCGAAGATGCTTTCATTAACATCAAATACATGGTTCCTACATACGAGTCATGTATGCTCAACTGAGTTTCACCAAATTTATTTTTTTCTTTTGAAATGCTTTTATTATTTTCATGTTGTTGTACGTTTTTTAGACATTTTCTACTTGATCCCGTATTATCTATATAACATTTTCTGTATTCAACACTCAAAAAGGTATTGCTATTGCTGTGTTTAAATTGATCGCCATAGACTCCAAAAATACCCAAATAAATGCATTCCCTCCATCTATCTATGCTGCATTGTTTGTCAAAATTTCCGTTTTGAGGGTGAAAAAATATTTACTTCCTTATGTTCAGCCCAGTATTATCATCAATGGATGGTGTTTCTCAAGCACTAGTCGTGTATTGCTAATGCCTGGCAAAAAAAAATATTTGATTAAAAAATGTTACAAATAGTGTTGTAGATCACCTTTTTTCAGAAAAAAAATGCCTTGAATTATAAATAGTTCTTTTGAATTTTTGTACGTATTTGCATGTACAATTCAATAATATTGTGCTCAATATACAGGCATTTTTCACCTCACAAAGTTACATTTCTTTAGTTTGTTTTGTTGCGTGTCATATTTTATTAATCAGGTACAGTTGATTGGGCAGTTTGTTCTAGGAATCGAAACAAAATGCAAGGCAGTTGGACCATCGTGCTTGGAGTTAGTAATGAGCTTGTTATCTCAACTGTGTGTGATTAGCATGCACGGGTTCGCCGGTTAGAATCCCACTTGTGGTTAATTATGTGCACAAAGATTGTCTCCTCGCCATCGCAGGGTAATTCTCTTTACCGCTGGCTCACTTGTGATGCTCGATGAAGGTCAATTAGAATTGATTCAAATGTGAAACCAAATCCGCATTCAATGGTAGCATAACTTTTGAAACAAGTAATATTGTTTATCTGTTCCAAAGTTCTTCGATCCTTGGTCTACATTGCATAAGACATTGGGATTACAGCTTCTTAATATTTTGTTTTGAGAATTCTTTTTTTTGTGCACGATACTACTCAAGGGGCCTTGTGGTTTAAAACGCGTCTGGTATTTAGGTTTTAACACTTTAAATAATAAATAGGAAAGCGAAAAGTGTGAGTGCTCAGCATGCAATATATCGACGGAAGATAAATAGGGTAACAACGCAACGTCGGTGAAGCGGTTGCGCCTGCACAAAAACAACGAAATTTTTTGGGGACCGAAAAAAAAGCTCGCGGACCAGCGGTTGGGAACGGGCAGAAAGCGTGGCACAGTTTTACTCTCCTTCGCGCCATAAATTTGAAGTTATAAACGAATAAACCATTTCAGTTATGGGTTTAATCAACTGTGTGGAGGCATCAATAATACTGCTGTATTAGAATCTCCACTTTAAATTCGTGTAACGGGAAAGTGATAAGCCGACTCAATCATATGGCGAACCACGGCATATCGTCCGGTCACCAGGGATTGTTCAGAGGCTTTTCCAGAGTAACACCGGGTTATCTTTTACTATTTTCCAATCTATTTTTAGTGTAGACCCGTTTACTCCAAAAAATGAAGACGATGATTTTATTTGTCAATTTGTTCGCTAAGCGCAAGGACTAACATACCGGCTAAGCGTTAGGAATACGCTATCCACCTCACGTCTAATTATCCTGCGTGGGTTCGCAGTGTTTTGCCCAGTAACTAACATACCTAGTTTGGCGCGGCGGTGTGGCTCAACGGGCTAAGCGTTAGGAATACGCTCGCCACCGCACCTCTAACTACTCTGCGTGGGTTCGCAGGTTCGAATTCCATGCAGGGATGGTTATGTGCGAGAGGATTGCTGGACTCCTCGCCGTCGTTGGGTGGTTCACGTAATCGCTGGTCGGTGACGGCTTCCTCCACCACCAAGTCCATGCTTCCGAAAAAACAAACTATACAGTAAAAACTAATCCCATACCCGACTTGGAATGGTAACCGGACGAGAGGCCGTGGTTCGCCATATGGATAAGCCGTCTTATCGGCTTTCCTCTCCCACAGGATAAATATGTAAATCCTATCCTATAATTAAGCCGTCTTATCGGCTTTCCTCGTTCCCGACATAAATATCTGAATCCTATTGTTCTTATCCAAAGTATATTATTCGTATCCATTTCTCGTTTTTAATAAGTGTGTTATGTAATTGATAGTGTGATAAATAACCTAAATACACTTCTTTCATATTACTGTATTATATTTGTTTATACTATAAAAGGCGCAATGATGTGGAACAGCGCTGTGAGTATACAAGGGCGGGAAGTTTCGGCAGTACGTTTTCACAGCTGATTGTTATGAACGCTTTTCTTTGATTATAGTGGAGTGAATTTTTTCGCTGATCCTCACGCAGTTAGGGTAAAGTTTAATTGTGGTTTGAAGCAGTTTGTGTGGGATGAAATATTAAGGCAAATTGATTTTGATCACTAATTCCGTAAATCATACTAAAGGAACGCCCAGCCAGCCAGCGTTCCTATTACAGTATTTGGGTCCGTCCTATCCTGGTGTCCCAGTACAGCATTACGGTATCTAGGAATCTGAGTATTCATTGGTCATGTCTGCTTTATTCATTCATGTTGGGCTATATTAATCATATGATCCTGGTATAGCAGTACAGTGTTGGTCTCAATTTTTTTTTTGGGACATTGATGGTCCTATTCAGTGACGGGAATAAAAGTAAGAAAAATACATAGATATAATGTCACAATGTTTTGGCAAAAATATTTTTAAATTTTTTCAATCTCTCTGCTTCTGCTTATTCTGCCATTTGAACTCTACCAATTCTGCCATATGCCTCACACACTGACACAGTCACATCCTGATGTAATATGGGCAAGGATAGTGATAAAAAAAAATTACGCTAATTAGATCTACTTCATTTTCTAACTTTATCTCATTTATCCAAGAGTTCAGGAGTTTGTCCAACTGCCTGAACTATCAGTACTGTTGTTCCAGTAAATATCAGGAACAACTTGCTTTTACACAAAATGTGTATGATTATGTTTTTTCTGATGTATTAAAAATAAACAATTGTCAAAAAAATATTTATAAAACATGTGTTTTACTAGAACTAAATAATCAGTGTCTTTCACATTTATCATTAGTTAAACATAATGCAGTCATACTTCTTCTGTGTACTGCAAGATATAAATATGGTTGGAATGTAATGCAGTTATTTTTGAAAATGTTAATCCAAGTGTTAAAAATGTCATAACAAGAATTAGAAAATCCCTTTCAGCAAGGAGAAATATAGAACAATTTAGACATAAACCTAGTTTTATAAAAGAACTAGACATAATTTGCAAGAATCTATGACTAATTGTATAAATTTTTCTGCTATCAATAATTAAAAAACATGTAAATTAATGTATATTTGCTGATAAACATGGGAAAATTTATCGGGAATCAACAATGGAATAATATGAATTGCTGGATGATGTTTATGAATATATTTGTTAATTATATGTAACTATGTTCTATGTTTATTATTTTTTCAATATTTATTTATTTTTACAAAACTGTTATGAATCCACAACGTGGAACTATAAAAAAAAAAAATAATAATAGAACAACCAGACAACCTATTTATTTTATGTCTATTTGTTCTGTATTTTGAGGTACCTTGATCCATGATTGGAAGTACAGGAGTAGTAAGTAGGCTAGTACTGGAAGACTTAGGTTTTGTGAAGGAATTTTCTATGTTGTGCTGTTTTATGTCCGTATGTCATAGTCTACTGCAAGAACTGTCATATGTCAGTTAGTTAGTATGTGTACACATATAACTGTATAATTCTGTAATTTTTGTTTATATTTCCTGATTTCTATGCAGCATTATCATTATATACTTGTTAATGATTTATGATGTAGGTTATAAATGTATTTCAACAAATGGAATCTAACTTCGAAATTACATAGTCAGAATGAAAGTTACTACGCCAGAAATATCATGGCATGCAAAGGAAGCTATATATTCCGTTGATATTCAACCTAAGCAAAAAGATCAACCACTTCGTGTAGCAACTGCTGGTATTGATTCAAATGTCAGGGTATGATTTTATGCCAACTTATGGGAATTAACATACAAATTAAAATAAAATCTTTCAAATAACATTGTTTTCAATTTTCGTAAGTGCTTTTTTATTTTAAAATTCATGCATATCTAATGATCTAGCATAGCACAGTGAATCTAAAACATGTCCAAATTTTGCTTTATACTTGAAAAATACCAAATTGCATGATACATTTTTTGCCTTGAATGTTTTCAGATATGGGAACTTAAACCAGAGCTCAAAACTTGTGTGACATTTCTTTCAAATCTTACTCGACATGAAAAAGCAGTAAATATTGTTAGATTTTCGAAGTCGGGAAGCGTACTTGCTTCTGGAGGTGATGGTAAGTCATGCTACGATTTCATTTGATTTATTACTTCTTCTAATTGAAGAATCTTTGCAATCGAATCATTTTTTCATCTATACTTTCTGGGTTGCTGCTCAATACCAGCTTTAGTTCACCACTGCTCCCTATTTTCTTTTAAAATTATGTCATCAACATTTTCATATAATTTTGTATTTATATCGTTTTTTAATTTACTGGCTGGAAATAATAAACTGATCTGACTATGGAGTTTTTTCAGAAATATAATAGTAATGCAAGGTCACGAAGACTTGCTCAAAAATCAAATGAAATTCGTGTTCATGCGTGTGTTGAGTTTCACTTTGTCAGAGGCATTTGAGGTATTAAGTTTTAACTGACGATTCTAATTATGATTCTTCGAAACTGACCCAAATACAATTCAAAATATATGACATGCGATTCTCTTATTTTTATCTTCTATCTTTAGACGGAACAATTATTCTCTGGCGACTCAGTGATAAAAATGAACCGCCAAATATATTTGATGATGATGCTGATATAGGAAAAAATGTAGAAACATGGAATGCTTTTAAAATGCTCCGGTATGCTAAAGTTTAATTCTTGTGTTGCATCACTCTGTTAAAATTATAAATAACATATACAACAATATGCCATCCTAAAAATATAATTACGGTATGGTAGTATTTTTTTCTTTGTAGTAAGGGACTTGAGACTTTGTTCATAATATTGTTACACTTAATTGAATCACCAAAACTTCAATTAATCCCTCCACTAAAATAAAATTTCCAGCGTGCAATTTAATAAATTTAATAGCAACAATAACAGCAATGTAAGAATCCATAAAAACAGGAACAACATTCTGATTTAATCTCAGGAAGGAGGGTGGCATCGTTTCTGCGATATTGAACCTAGGTAATGTAGATCAGTGGTTCCCAACCTTTCTACCCTGGCGGACCAGTAAAATTAAGATAAAAGTACTCGCGGACCGGCAAAGAAATTGAAATGACCGGAACAGAAAAGAATAACATTTATTTGCGTAATATAATGCAATGCCGGGCACTCAATATGCTTCTAGACAAAAAATGTACACTTAAAAACATTTCACACGAAGAAAAACTAGTAAATAATGTGCCGGCCAAAAATTGAAATGGGTGAAACATAAAATAATATCATATATTTGCGTAATGAAATGCAGTGCTGGGCACCCATCATGCGTAAAAAAAGGCCACGCGTAAAACATCTCACATAAAAAACATGTAAATGCCAAATAATGTACAAACTCTGGTGAGAATTTTGCTGCTGTTTCGTTTCCGATGCACGATTGCAAACGAGGCCTCAAAGAAGTTTCTGCAAAACGTAGCTCTGCAGCGGTGTGCAACCAATTTCTTTGCTTCGTTTTAATTAAAGCTAGTGATGAAAATGTTTTTTCGCATAATGTAGTAACTGGTTGATAATACGAACAAGAGTTTGGTTGCTCGATTACTTAGCGATGGGTATTCGTTATCAAGAGATATCCAAAATTATGACAGTGATTCTTTTTTTAAATCTGGACTGTAAGGTAGAGTCACAATTTTAATCAAGAGGTTTCTTTTTCATCGGGTTTATCATATTAATCCTCCTGCAGTTGATCGATACCTCAAACGGAATGAGTTTACAATACAATGACAAAGTCGTCGCTACCGGGCTCAAAATACTGAAAAAGATCTCTGCGCCCATGCTGTTTTGCGCGTCTCGTGATCACCTGCAGGATCGCAACAAGTTCATATCATATTGGAATATTATACTGTCCTTGACTGTTTTCTGGTTTGAACAAAGAAATATGCATAACGTTTTACATGGATGATCATATTAATCACGATAAGCACGCAGAACAGAAAAAGCACGCGTACCGATTTTTAGGTTTCTGAACCTTGCGAGATTTGATGGAGCGCATTCGCGATGAATCGGAGAAGAAAAAGCGAAAAGTGTGATTACTCGGCGCCACGATGTCGCGAATGACGTCGCAATATGACGGCGGAAGAGAAATTGCGTAATAAACCAACGCAACCTACGGTAAAGGGATTGAGACGGCATAAAAACGAAATTTCTCGCGGACCGGCAAAAAAGCGTCGCGGACCAGTACCGGTCCGCGGACCGGCGGTTGGGAACCACTGATGTAGATGACTGACAGCATCTCAGATCATCGTCATAAGAAAAGAAATGTTAAGATGTGGACATCTGAATATTCCCTAATATTGTTAAAATCTTTCCTTCATGGGCCATTTCTCCCAGTTTGGGAAACACTGATCTAGTCTGTATGATCAATAAAACGATTATAGTGGAAAAAATTTTGACATAAAATTTTATTTGTCTTGAAGAAGATAAACAAATGAAAGTTCACAACCAATCTTTCTATATATGCTCTGTGTCAATGAAATTGAATTACCCAACATATTTGGTTGTCTCAATATTTAACATCTGTCTATTTTTCATAGAGGACATGTTGAAGACATCAATGATTTAAGTTGGTCAAATGATGGGGATTTTATCATATCTGGGTCTATTGATCACACTGCAATTATGTGGGATGTTGCCAAGGGATCAAAACTAAGTATTTTGACTGAAGCTAAACATTTTATACACGGAGTCGCTTGGGACCCATTGGATAAATATGCTGTTGCTCTCAGCTGTGATAGGTATGTAAAACACATTTCTGTGTAGATTACTTACTTTGAAATTATGCTGAATTTCACTGATCGTCACCATACCTCTGATCGTTTTGTGTGTGCGCGATGTAGGTTCGAATCCTGCGGCATATGGTCATATGAAAGAGGGTCGCGCACTCCATATTCATTTGACACTTGAATGCCCATAATGAATCAAATCTTCAAGTGGATTCAAAATTAATTATATTCATGAATTTGGTATAATTTAGAATTATTATCATTTTGAATGATTTGATCAATCGAAGTCTCACAGTGTGAAAAAAAGACGTTCATTTTATTTTTAAAAACTGTAAAAAATGCAAAACCGATCAATTCATTATTTCTTAATGAATATGCATTGACTTGTACATGTGTTATGTGCTGAAAAAATGACCAAATTCAGAATATACGTATACATATTTGATATTCTGGATTCAAAAATATTATTTTACAATATGTTCACAAACACAATAATAGACATGTAACATGCAACTTTCTATTCGAAGGTCTATGAGAGTATACAACACACGAACACGCCGAATTCTTCACAATGTATCCAAAATGGTTTATCCTGAAATGGCGGATGACACTGCTGACAATGGTCAAGTTGATAATGATGATGAAAATGATGTTTCTGCCGTAAAACCTCAGCGTATGTTTCATGATGAAACTGTTGTTAGAAGAAGGTATTTATTTACTTTGATATCAGATAGGATTTTTCATATTTATTCTGGTGGAGAGGAAAGTGGATTAGACAGGTTAATCTTTCAGTGAACCATGGCCTCTCGTCCGGTTACCGATTCATGTCGCATGGGAATATTTAATCAGTTCAGATGCATGGATTTGATAATGAAGCAAGTTGAAAATTATTTGACACAGTAATTGCAAACTTGACAAATAAGATTGAAAGGATGATCTCCTCTAATTACTTGATTTAGGATATACGGGGTCTTCCATCGTACTGTTAGAGGAATATAGATAATTGAGTACCGCTGATTTCAAAATTAATCTCATTTTTCGCTTTCATTTAGTGCAGAGAATTCCCATTTCTCCATTAATTAAAAGGAAAGGGATATGACGGATGGGGTTTTAAAGGTTGATTGGTTGTCTGTAATCCTCTACTGGAAACAAATGTATTTTTTGTAAACATCTCTGTTTTATATGCTTTGATTTTTTTTTTGTTCAAGTCACAAAATAATGTATATTTTATTTTTAGATTGGATTTTACCTGTGATGGAAATTTACTGATTGTTCCATCTGGATGTTTAAACAAGAAACAGGGTGATTCAGTTGAACAGGTATTCAATCTATTATGGAGTGGAATAGGGAAAACCAAGAGGGCATTTGAAAATTAAATCAAAATCCCTATGCACAGTAAACATAGACAATTTAATGTCTATTCCAGGTTGATTTTTGTCAATGTCCAACTTTTAGTTACCGTATTTCCCGGCTAATAAGTCTACCCGGCAAATAAGATGATGTGTATTTTTAGCACTAAAAATTTTTTTTTTTCCATATAGCCCTCCAATGTGACGGGGTAGAAAAATTGCTCCTCTGCTTGTCAGTTAAACACTAATATGCGCTAATAAATTTTATATTGTTGGAACCAGATCAAGGTTATTTGGAGAATCATACCCACAGAATTATTAGCTATTCTTAACATTAAAGCGTTAATTTTAAGTTAAAAAGCGGCAATCATCTTGAACATGGGTTAGTTAACAACTGTGTTTTCCTTTCTGTTTCATTTTCCGTTGAATCGGCAAAACAGGGAGGGTCATAAATCACTTTGTTGGCCGCGTTTCTCTTAATAAAGCACAGATAACAGTGGGCTTAAATAGGAAGTGCTTCATGACACCAGCCAGTACAAAGTCAATTAAATATCATGATTGGCACTTTGGCAGACCCTTTGGCTACATAAAAACATAATAAAATATATCAAACCAAATATAACGTTAACACAAATCATGTTTGAGAAGACTCCTGCGAAAAATAAGCGGATCGCAAAAAAATAAAATAATAGAAATAAAATGATTGCCCAATAAGAGGGCCCCCCAAAATTGGGTCTAAAAAAGCGACTTATTAGCCGGGAAATACGGTATGTATTTACTATGTAAAATCCTTGTATTTAGCGGAACTGTAATTTCAGTTTGGCATATTTTTATTGATTATGGACCTGAAATCGTGATTTCTAATTCCAATTGTGATAATCAAATTAAAAATTTGTAACTGATACTGGAAAAGAGTCAAAATTTTCTGGAGTCTGAGTTTTATCAACTTCCCATCCAAGCCAAATTCAATTATACAGGGGATCAGACCAAGTGTGGACAGATGTTCATTAAAATATCTACAATATAAATGTAGAAGAGGAAAAAACTTATTTTACTGAAGATAGCAGTATAAAGCTAAATAATAGCATTTTTTTTTTCTCTCTTACATTTATATTGTAGATATTTTAATTAACATTCGTCTACAATTGGTCTGATCACCCTGTAAATAATCCTTAACTCTACTGTCCCGATGTACTTTCATTTTTTGGTGTAATGTTGTTTTTAGTAGTTGTGCATAAAACTGCAAAAAAATACATTCTTATATCGCTAAATGTGGTAAAGTTATCATCAAATATTGTTGCTTTGTTTCAGATAAACACAGCATATATATTTACCAGAGGATGTTTATCAAAACCATCAGCTGTGTTGCCTGGTTTCAAACAACCAGTAACAGTGATAAGATGTTGTCCAGTAAAGTTTCATTTGAGGGAGATGGAAGATAATGACACGAGTGAGTTTTTACTTTGTATCTAAAAACATCTGAAAATTTAATATTTGTGGAGTATGTAATATTTCTGGCAACGACTGAGGGCTGATAACTATTTGAAATTGGTGTCACATGTCTTTATTTTGAACAGAAATTGTCATAAATATTGAAACTATTCGTCAGTACTCAGGTAATCCATTTTCTTGACTCCAATATCAGTTTATCGTTTGAGAAGATATGCATTTATGTAAACTGAGAATGGGATCAATTTGCATTGATACCTCTGTAGTCGAACTTAATTCGCTCAGTATTGGTGTGCGACTACCGATTTGTTCGAGTACCGAAACTTATTTTGCCATAAGAAACAATGTTAATTACGTGTACCTAAACCACAATGTCATTTGAATGTGTAATACATAAATAAACAAGTAAATACAAAAACTCCACTCCACATTTGAGCTGTGGGATCTACAGGAATTATTATTTTGTGTGCGATGACATCATCAAAATTGCACACCATGTGGCAGTCTCGTTTTCGTGAAGTTATGAAGATTACATAGTAACTGTACTACATTGTTTTGGCCCTGGTGTCAGTATATTTGGGATTCGCTTTCTTATTGAATGGTAAAGAAGCAGCAGAGGTACGTAGTTTGGGTGATGTCATCTCACTCGCGGCACGCTTGGTTGTTCGAGTACCACCGCACTGATGACTAGAATTTTTCGGTCAGCTACAGAATTGTTTGAGTATCGAGACGTTCGACTACCGATGTAACGCTGTATGTATGTTACTTGTCTAATTACAGAATGTATTAGGAATAAGTGGATTAATCAATTTTATTAAATCTGTTATCTTTGTTTTTAGATTCATCAATTGATCTTCCATACAGATTAGTATTTGCCGTTGCTGCTACTGATACTTTATTATTGTATGATACACAACATCTAGAACCATTTGCTTTAATAGGAAATATTCATTACGCTGCTATTACAGATATATCATGGTTAGTATGGATTTTATTTAGCAATTATTGCAATGAAACACTGGAATCAAACCTGAGAATGACATGGATGGCAGGTGTGTTCTTAACCAGGGATGTGGGGTCTTGGGTAAATTTATATCCGATCTGACCACTGATCTGATGCCAATGAGTTTGAAAATATGGCTACTGCTGCCAAATAAGTGTTGTTCCTATCTTGTGGCTACACAGGTTAAAGCAGTAGACTTAACCGTGATGGCATTGCTGATTAAAATTTTGGTTCAAATCCTATGCCCATCTCATTACGGCAGGTGTAATGAAATGGATAGCTCATTATCTAGCGGTGGGTGCTTGTGCAGAGCGGAAGACCATAAAAATGTTTCTATTGTGGTTGCTCTGTCTAAATATGCCTTCATTTATCTCTGCAAAGTAGTGTCGTGTTAGTCAGAAGCACGACATTTGTAACTGCTCGGACCCGAGCATGACGCTGCAATGATAACCTTACAATATAAAAAAATTTTCCCGACCGACTCTCTCGTTTTCATGTATATTTTCTATTTCAATAATTCTCTCGACTGACTCTCTCAATTCGATTATTTTCCAAACTGAGTTCATTCATAAAAACACGTTCAAATACTGGTTATTTGACGTCATCTGATGCTGAATACGGCAATTTTGAGGTCGCTGACACGTTAACTTTAAATTGAAGTTAGTTCACGGCCCCTCTATTGCAGTTGAATTATATATTTCTGTTATTATTTTTCTCTCTCAATTGACTTATTTTTTATGTTTATTTGTACAATATACCATGCACGACGGAAATGAATATCCGAATCTGAATCTAAAAAAAACCTCAGCCTGATATGCCAACCACCTAGCCTCATACCTGTCTCTATAGATATATTTCATTGTTCACTGAAATATTTTCTCAGGTCATCAGACGGTCAACAACTTCTAGTTTCATCTCGAGATGGCTTTTGCACAATAATACAATTCAGTAATAAAGAAATTGGTAAAATATATAGTGAAGCAGTGACCGCAGATAAAACTGAAAGCTCTGAAGTATTATGCAACGGTCTCGAAACAGAAACTACAGAAAACTCGATTAAACTTTCTGAACCTATTATTATAAATGATGATAGCAGTTCGTTAGATTCTGCAGAGAGGGATATTACGTCGGGAACACCGAAGACTATCGAAAATTCAAATGTACAGAAATCGGATTCAGTCATTGAACAGCAATCGAGTGGGAAAAACATTTGTGCAACACAAAAATGCGAGATTGATAATGAAAATAAACAGGAATTGAATTGCAATTTGTCATCTTCACAGCCAAGTCTTTCTCAGGTTAGTTCTTTAGCATGTTTTATTGAAGCTGTCATTTCTCGTGATTCTTCTTCAATAAGAATGAGAACAAATTAAGTGTTAAAATAAAAATGCTTGCTAAATTAAGTAGAGTCATATCAGTGCTTGTGGCCTTTTTGTAGTCTAGTGCAGTGGTTCTCAAACTTTTATGTACCAACATCCTCATTCCCTCTTCCTAACGAATGGAATGTTGGAAATAAAATAAGTCATGTTTCTTGTGTGGCATCTTTCATTTTGGTTTTGTGATAATTCTGATTGACCGCTGGTATTTCCTTATGCTCAAGTGGTCAAGTTCAAAAAAATCTGTGAATAAAATGTATTGATATTTAAAAGTATTGCTGATTGTTATTTAGGAAAAGAAATCTAGAAGAGTTCAACTAGTAACGTTGGAATCACCATGCACTAAAACGTGAGCTAAATTTTCATCTTTTAGTTTATTTGGCTGTAGAATGTTCTTTGCGTTCAGTTTCTTGAATTTGCTGTTATTGATCTGTTCACATGTGATCCTCAGTTGATGCCTTAGTATTGTTTTTTGTACTGTGTGTTTGTAAAAGTGTGGGCATCTAGTAACGATAAATTTAGGGTATTAGTGATTGCTATGAGTAAAGAGGTAGCTGAACGCTTACTTTCTTCCGACTATCTCTTTGGATTTTCCAGTAATTACCGAAAAAATAGTTGAGATTGTCATACTAACTGAGAACTGTACATGCTTTCCTCAATCAAATGAGTCTCTAATGGCATCAATTAACATCTGATGTTCTTCAGCTCCCAGCGAGACCAATTGCCATCTTCAGAAAGCTCGAAGACCCAAAAGACGACTTCAAGTGACAAACCCAACCCGCGTCGAGTACAGCTTACCACAATACAAAGCACAGAAACTGATACTAATTCAAAGATTACACCAAAGAAACCTTTGAACAACAAAATCAATCATACATCACCTGCATTTAATACACCAAAATTTGCTTCCAGTAGAGATACACCTACATCTAAACCCAGCGAGACAAAGAAAAAGCAACCTCGCAGAATTCAGTTGACGCAAGTTAACAACTGATCCTTGAAAACAAATGAATGGAATAGTCGGGACCTCGTCTGTTTCTGTATGCTAAGAAATGGATTGTCGATATAAATCATACCGAATCTTGGATTGAACATAAAGCAATGACAGTTTAATCTGATGAATAACTCAATGCGTTATCACAGATACCTGTTTCTGGAATTCTGTACATGCAATTGAAACCGTGTCTGAATGTCAATCATTTCAGAATATATTTTTAAAGTCTGTCGCCCAATAATATTAAAGTTATTATAATACAAAACGCATGTTGTAGGAATGATACAAAGATAAAAGCCAGATTTTAGGTCTTTATCAAGCAATTTTCTGATGTTTTGGTTTTATTTATGTTCGAAATTAGATTTAGCGCACCTGCTGACCGTTGATCACCTCTTTTAGTTCCTTGCTAAGACATTTTGTAGAGTTTTCGATGCTGTGTATTGTTTCTGGTTCAATTGCAACATTTCTTTCTATCTACTCTTTCTACTCAATAAATTTGTGATGATGAAACTGCAGTTCAATTTATTAGGATCTGGTATTATCAGCTGCAGCATACAAACCCTTGATGATGTGATAATAATACTACATAGTTTAAATGCTGCTAATAATTCCTGATCATCAAGAAACAAAACCTACCTTAGTAGAAAGGCATGTTACCAACGACAAGCAAGCAGTGTCCCCACAAAGCTTTTTTTTTACTCAACATTTATTTAGTCACTGATTTCAAGCAGATATTAATTTAGGTAAAAAGCAACAATTGACAAAATAAATAAATTGGTGTCATACAAAATTGGCACTTGTGTTTGGTAACATTTATTTCGTCACTGATTTCAAGCAGATATAAATTTAGGTAAAAAGCAACAATTGACAAAATAAATAAATTGGTGTCGTACAAAATTGGCACTTGTGTTTGGTAGAAAAAATTGTATAATAAATATATGAATTGAAAACTGTTAATCCCCGCTTTGCTACCTAGCGTATGTCTATCAATGTGAATTCTTGTTTTCCTTTTTTTTTATGTATTCACAAAATCTGGATAAACAAGCAATCTGCCTGTTCATTAAAGATTGAATGTACAGTCAGCCCGCTGGAAGATATATCACATCTTGTAATGCACCTAACAGCAGTTATTTGTCTTATTGAGGGAAACGCGAGAACACTGTGCTAATGGAGTGATTGTACCTGCCTAACTGCCATACTATCGATTTTCTTGCAAACTTATTTTGATCTTGAACAATATTGCACAGTAAGAAGTTATTAACTTAAATTAAATTTACTGAATTATACTTATTTGGCATCATAAGAAAAACTGTTTAAAAAACTTGCTTCATTCAGCAAGCCATTTTAGCACCATCGGTGTATAGTATGTGATGATAATATCAGTTCCAGCCCTTCGAAAGCATGTTAAACATTCCATAACAGCAGTTTTTAAAACGTATGCTCCGGCCTCAGCAGCGTGCCATAGCGATGCATATTCTCCTGATACATGATAAACAGCCAATGGATGTCCTGGATGAATTCTTTTTATATCAGATATGATATCTAAATAAGGCATGCCCGGTTTCACCATCAATATATCAGCCCCTGAAAAACATTTGAACAAATTTTGCATTAATTATAAGACATTCTTTAATTCAACACATGAGCAGGGACGGGGAAGATGTATGGTGATTTCAGATTTGTCAGTGGTTTTCCACCTTTTTGGAATTGGACGGCCAATAAGGAACCCCTTTGCAACAGTTTGGTAGTTTTTTATATAAATTATAAATATTGCTAAAAAAATACTGGCGAAACCAAATGATCTTCAAGTGTAGCGAGTTTAATAAAAGAGGTGAGGGGTTTGAATATATTAACATAAATTCTCGGATTTGAATAGAAACCCTGGTTGAAAACCACTGTACTATATTGACCTGTGCCACAATTTGATGACTGATGTAAGCTGGTTAACATGGTGATCATGAAATGCAATCAATATAATTTTCATTCAAACCTATATAGCAGAAAACATAATTACAGAAGAGAACCAAACATTCATGAAATCGAAAAATCATGACTATGTCAAGTTGATCAGAATGGGACTTTTCGAAAACTGGCGGTCAGAATTTTACCATTTTGCATTCGAATTGTTCCTTCAACAGAGACGGGCAGTACTTCGTCAAGCGCAGCTATATAACCTATCATTGAGTTGTTAAATAAAAATTTACCTTCTGCCACATCTCTTTCTGCTGCTCGCAATCCAAGACCTTTAGATCCTGGAGGTAGTTGATAGCATTTCCTGTCACCAAACTTAGGTGCAGACTGTGCTGCATCTCTGAATGGCCCATAAAAACTTGATGCAAATTTAGCACTATAGCTCATAACTGAAGTTCTGGAATCCAAACCTAAATGTACAATGTTGATAATTTTTTAATAATTACATACTAGGATAGCACTTCCATATAAGATACTGTAATTCATTTTGAACTCCCCAAAAGTACAAAAAAATTAACATTACAGGAGACAAACACACGGAAAGGAAATTTAATTACAATGCTGTTCAATATTTATTGGAATAACCTGTTCATTGTTGAAACATAACAGTGCGTACAGAATAGTCGCAAAAACAATGTTCGAGATAGGCTTGGGTAATGGGTCCCAAACACAGTTCACTTCAGCTCCAAGAAAGTATGAGTGAATCTGACAATATAAACCTAATCAAACTCGACAACAACAATTTTTATAATCGATACAAGAAGGTTATCACGACTCATAGAGTCATATTCATACCTGACTCTGCCAAAATGTTTTTGATTGCTCCAATGCGACCATCCATCATATCACTTGGTGCAACAATATGAGCTCCTGCTTCAGCATATGATTTGGATATTTCAGCCAATCTCTTTATACTTTCTGCGTTATTGATTGTCCCATCTTCTCTCAATATTCCACAATGTCCATGATCTAAATGATTTATACAATAATAGAGTAGTAGGTCCATACCAGTATTCAAAAACTAGTTCTGCCAAAGCCTGTATTAGTCATTTCATTGTAGCATTTCAGTATTAGCAGAGAGCATGCATAGGTCGCAAGACACTCAACATAATTAAAGAAACTTGGCCTAGACAACTCCCAACACAAAAAGACATATTTTTGCATTAGTAAAGGGCATATCTACATACAGCTTCCTCTGTGGTGGCTTTCATTTCACAACACTTGAACAACACCGTTGCAACCCCAAATTACATTGAACATGTACCTGTATAAGCACAGATGCAAACATCTACTGCAATGACAAGATTTGGAAATTCTTTGCGTAACATCTTTATTCCTCTTATGACAGGACCATTTTGATCATCAGCAGCTCCGCCGCGAAAGTCTTTCGTACATTTTGTTGGAACACCAAAAATCAGGACAGCTAAAATTGATTAGAGCAATATATAATAGTCCCTGACGCCAACAGATCCAGAATGGATAAGATAGGACACGGTTATTTTAATAAGACAAAGTAAGCAAATAATGGTGTATACATAGTTTAGTGGTCCTCAACCTTTTTTTCACGATCTGTTTTTGTTGCACAAAACTTCTCTGGCCCATTCATTTTTTTTTCGTGCAAGGGAAGAAATATTAAAAAAACAAAAAATTAAAAACTTTCACTTCAATAGTTAGTATGAGAATTACCACTCAGTAGCAAAAATAGCATGCAACAATTACTCTAGCAATAATAGGAACAAGAACGAGTGGTCCAGCTAGAACAGAGCAAGTGTGAGAGGGTAATTTCAATAGAGATATCATCAATACAGAACGATACATCACAACATAAACAAGGTGTATATGAACAGTGACACAATTTCACAATTTTCGTATGCAATGTATCTATAAGCATTTTGCTCAAACAAGGCACTACACAATCATCCCCAAGTGATCTTAAAAGACATTGAAAAAAGGCTAAATATAAACTTCGAAAATTAAAATCTCAAAAAAAATAAAAATACTTACATTTGAGAGGTAAACAATTTTCTCCATCAACCAAAGGCTTCAGATATTCACATAACTTTTTAACTCCGTATCTTGCTTGATTTGGCAAAGATTTAATTGGTTCATACGCATTGTCATCAGTATCCGTAATAAAGACAGGAAACATAAGGTTCTCTGTGATTAAAAATACCATTCCAAAAAATTGAATAAACAATTATTTGATAAATGAAGCGTGTCATTTCCAATTTTTCATCACAATCATTGTTTTATGTGACAGTGATCCTATTTTATTTATTTGCAGAGTTGAGTAAGTTGGTCGGTATGATTTCGCATATATATGATCTTACTAAAAGTAACATACAATGGTCTCTTATGGACCTACCACTCTAGATACGGCATAGGAAAGTTGACCACGTCACTGGAGGTGAAGGTGAACCCAACAATGGGTTTCGATCATGCCCCTTAGAACTGGGTCTTATGATTATTCCCTATCTCTTGGTGAGATTGCAATAAGAAATTCATTATAATAAGTATAAGCTGATTTCGACTCCATAATCAGCATAATAGTAGATAAAATAATTGATAAAAACAAAGCGAGAATATTGGTCAGAGACCGAAGACTTATCGATCGAAAGTTAGGGGATCCCCAAAACAGCGCTCTTACTCCATATAACACCTTGTGTCCCATCACTAATTAATAACTCGCTAATTATACGACATAATTCATCCAAAATCGATAGGCTTCTGGTCCGACATATGATGAATGCACATGCAAAAGCTGGAGCAGATTCAATCTCGCTTTCGTGAGATATCGCGTGCATCTAACAGACAGACAGACAAATACCTATCAACATACTTACCGATCAAAATCGATAAGTAATGAATAAAACTGATAATAGAATCGGGAGAGCAAAGAAAACATTGCGGTTTAAAATGTACAGATTTTAGATTGAAAGGTGTTGTTGAAAGTATACCTTAGTACGTATTCACTCACTCACTCACTCAAAGAAATGAAAGACACCCAATGAAACAAACCTGATGTTATGTTTGTGTTTCCAGACTGCCATGATCTCAATGTAGGGTGATGAATCCCACTATGGAAGCAGTTATTTGGTGATGGGTTGTAACAATTTTCACTATTTGTTGATGCCATACTTATGCTAGCTAGAAATACCAGTGCAATATAAAGTATGAAAAATAACAGAACTTTGTCACATGATTGCAGGCATAGCAAAATTAATAATTCCGGAGTATGATTTTCTACAAGAGCAATAATATTTTAAACCTCTTGCAAAAAGTGGGTAGGGCGTATAACACGAAATCCTTTCAGGGGTTATTTTATACTATAAATAAGAAATAATGAATTTCATTCGGCTATCTTGTGAAATTATAAAAGAAAAGTTATATGAAAGAAAGTACTGGAAGATTTCCGGCAGTATTATTTAAAGAAATAATAGAATACAATCTACATTTCCCTTTCTCTATGGAGTTAACTAACATATTCATTCGAAAACGAGCTCCTATTTAGGTCTAGTAAATAACTTTTTCTTACGGTATTGACTATCCCTATATCAAGTGGTGATGTACATAGGCGGATTAGACGATCTAGGCACAATACATTTCATTTGTGACATTACTGAGATAACTTATTTTTCCATTCCCCAATGTTTTCCTATTTTGTCAGCTGTTCTAAGTACTGGTGTTTTAGTAGCGTTAGCATAATGATGAAAATATCAAAATAAAATTGTAATACAATTATGGGCGCTCTGGAAGTATGTGTACCAAAATGGAGGTAACTAATTTCGTTTGCCTACTTTACATCAAGTTGTGTGAAGACTAAAACAGACAGTCCCCGAAATTGTAATAGAACTAAAATAAGGAAAATCAGAATAAAATTATGGCCCAACCCAAACCTGGTACACATACTACAGGAGTACCCCACCATGTCCATCTATTCATCTGGAAAGCACTGGAGAAAGAAATATTTACTTTTTTTAACGAATATGACAAAAATAACTGATTTCAGGCAAAATTTGCTATAAGTCCTAAAAAAAGAATAGATGGAGGTCTAGGAGGAGCTTTACATATTTAAATTGAACTCATTTGTAAAGCATACATTATAGGAATATGCCGACTAGATTGTAACTGTCTATCCAATTTATCATTCAACAAAAATAACAAGTAAAATGACAATTAGTATTTAACAGCATCGCCGTGCTAAAATAACTCAGCCTCTAGCTCATCAAGATAATTTAAAGCTTTTTCTTTTAAATTATTAATTTCTTCGTTATTTTTATCTGAAAGTTTTGAACATTGTTGCTCCTTTTTATTATCAAGTTTATTATTCATTTCATTTAGTTGTTTCACTGCATCATGTGCCTTCCTTAAAGCATTGTCAAGGTGAATAGATTTGTCTTCGTTTTCTTTACCATTAACAAGTTTCGCAGCATTTTTAGTGTTCGTTAAAATTTGATGTGCTTTGTCCAATGTTGTCATTTTACTTTTTACAATTTTAGGTTCCACAAAAATGAATTCTTCCTCTTCAGATGACCGATCATTATCTTCGTCGTCGGATTTTGGTTGATTTTGATTCGATAATGATGGATTTTTATTATCAGTAGTAAAGTCAGACACTTTTTCTATATTCATATGTTCTCTTTCCGCAATATGTTTTCTAATGATCGCCAGATTATCTGCCACATATTTTGCTTCTGGTGCCAATAAATAAACATCATGCATACACTTCTCTGCATCACGAAGTCGTCCTTCTTCCAAAATACAAACACAATAGTTATGTCGAGCTTGAATATTTTTGGGATCAGCTTCAATAATGCGATGAAATGCCTCTGCTGCTGCTTTTGTGTTCTTTTTCTTGTTCAAAAGTGTCTGACCATAAAGTGTTAAGCCTTTGATATGTGTGGGATGATATGTAAGCAATGTTTCAATGTATCTTACACATTCTTCTGTGTCATCTTTTTTTGAAAACATGAAAGCCATATTATATAATGCAGATTTGTCATCGGGATGTATCGTAAGAACTTTTTGCCAAAAATTTGTTGCTGTTTCCTCATCTCCATAATCAAGGTATATTGATCCAAGTAAAGACAACGCAAGGTAATTTTCCGGTTCTATTTCCAGTATTCTTTCAACTCTGATCTTGGCTCTATTGATCAGGTCCTTGTTACCAGTTTCCTCAAATATGACAGCAGAATTGTACAATGCTTTTATATGATATGCATTCACTTGAATCGCATATGTGTAATACTCAATTGCACCAGTTATGTTTCCCATTTGAGAATGAATTACCCCCAAATTGAAATACATATCATCTATATGGTGAGTGTATTTCAAAGCATTTTTATAACAATCCACTGCTTCATTATATCTCTCCATTAACATTAGAATTTCTCCCCTATTGATATATCCATCAGCAAAATCGTTTCGCATTGATAAAGCTTCTTTATATAGAGCGTCAGCCTCTTCCCATCGTGATTTGTTCATTTTCATCAAGTTACCAAGATGAACAAAAAGTTGCAAATCATCAGGTGCTATTTTTGCTGTTATCATTTTACCAGGAACGTGTTTTGGTAGTTGATCTTTAGCTTTTCTGTAAGCCTTTTCGGCATCTTCATAGAGCCCTAAGCGTTTTTTTATTCTTCCTACATTCATGTGTGAACCAATATCATCTGGTTGTATTTTTGCAGCCTCAGTGAAATATAATAAAGCCATCTCTGGCTGCTTTATCTCAATACTATGTCCAACATTGTTCCATATCTTTGCGTTATTCTTAGTAACTTGAAGACCACTTTGGAATAAAGTATAATCTGATTGCCATTGTAAATTACGTAAAATAGTCTTTGTAGCAAAACAGACACAAAGTATAGCAAATGCATAATAAATAAATAATTTGTTTTTGCTGTTATTTTGCAATTTCACGAAACCAACGGCCATGATTAAACAATATCCCATTGAAGGTAAATATAATATTCGCTCGGCTACGACAAAACCAACAGGAAAAAATAAATTTGAAGCTGGTAGAAATGGGAACACTATAAAAGATAAACCCATTAAAATCATCTTTGAATTTGAATCTTTTTTTGAAACCGCAATCCATGAAAGACTCAATAATAACAACCAAAAAATTGCTGTTAAAATATTTCTCACATCAGTCCAGTCATTGACCAAAGGAACTGTACCCATTGACCAGTCACATAGAAGATCACTCGGATTTACCAGTATCCATGCGTTGATAGCTAATAAGTAGTTATAAGTCAGTTGCCGTGTAGGCGTTTCACTTAGAGCAGCTGGATTATCAAACTTGACGAATGAAGGTAGTGAATCTCCCATAATCGAAACTCTCCAATATAAAATTACACAGGCAATGAAGCAGAATATTGCAGATCTCAATCCTACATAGATTGTACTCGTTTTTCGCAGTGACAAAAATTCTAACGGTGATAATTTATGAGCAACAAAAAAATCATAAACGACGCATATTGCAAGAACAGTGATTCCTTGTTCCTTGCTTGCAATAGCACAAATAAAAAATAACAATGCTAATAAGAAATACAGAGGTTTAAATTTGGCAAAATATAAAAATGTCAACAACATAAATACAGCAGATAAAAGTTCAGCACGACCAACTACACCAGCAGCTGCTTCTGTGTGAACAGGATGCACAGTAAATAACGCAGTTGCAACATATGCCACGGATTGCCATTTTTCACTTTTTTTCGAATTATTTGAATTAAGAATGACATTCGTTTGATTCTTCTCCAACTTGGTCCTTTGCTCGAACTTTATTGCAGAGTCATGTTTTGAGCATTTCTCACATGTGACACAGCACATCCAGTAGTAAAGAACGCAGACAGAAATATGAAGAACAATGTTGACTACATGAAATGATGAGGCTTCAAGACCAAACATCAAATTGTTCAGCTTGAATGTTAAAACTGTCAACGGTCGGTATGATTTATGACTTCGCTCCTGTCAAATACAAAATGAATATATTCAAATCAATTGTATAGAAACATAGCTTTTCTTTTCAAATTCTTCACTACAATTTGAACATATTTCGAACAGTCGAGAAGCAAAATTCCAGAATTAGGATTTTAATCCTATTTATCCAGATAGTGAAAAAGCTCATATACACTGAAGTTTTGTTATTAAAATTTGTTTCTCAAAGCTCGAAGTTGGTGTTTTCTTTCAGAGTGAAGTCAGGAACTGGGATCAACATTTTTGTCCACTTGAGAGTTGTGGCCAAATTGGCTAAGCACTTGGAATTGAGTGCAAATCTCACTCGTCTACATAGGCCTAATTCCGAATACTCCACTAGACCTATAAGACTATTGGGAATCATTGAGGCAAGACCGATCAGAATTATCCCATTTCAATGTAAAATGATGGTGCTGATTCCCTTCGCTTTATTGTCTTTTCAGTAAAGTTAAAGGCTGAGGTCAAATTGTACTATACTGCTATAGAATATATTTACATTTTTGTCGTGGGAGAAGGAGAATTAGGATACTGCTGTACTGTGATAAGATGGCTTAATCATATGGTGAACTATGGTCTTTCGTCCGTTACCAGTCTATGTCAAGGATGGGTATAAAAGTTGACAATTATGGATACAGCTGCAGCTGAGTATTTCATTTTGGTTTTTCCGACAATAGCACAATTGAGAAAATTATAATAAATTACTATACATAAATAGTCTTACCAGGTGCATGGGCGTCCCCCAATAATCATTCCATAGCAAATTTGACCATGTTGCGTTTACGTCCAGATCCTTATTATTCAAAACTGCAGAGAAGTCATCAAACACAAATCCACAGAAAGTTGTGTTGAAGTATAAGATCACTGATGTAAAAATTATTCCAAGTTCAACAGAAAGTGCCCTAATAGTTGACATTTCCACAAACTTCAGAACTTGAAAAATAAAATGAGAATCAGATGATGACTGAAATATGTAAGGACTCTGGGAATTCTACCCTTTACAGAATTAATGAACAATGCTGAATAGAAACACATAAACAGCTGAACAGGCATTCAAGGAGTGTATTACAATGCCAAGTGCAGTTTAAAGCAGTGGTTCTCAAACTTTTTTAGTCCCAGAGCCGCATTTCAAAGCTCAAAGTTATGAAGAGCCGCACACAAACAACGCAAGGTAAAATAGCAACAAACCTCAAGTGCGTATTTAAAATACCAAGACATCGTAACAACAGCACACGTAACAACTAGGGCTGGGCAAAATATTCAATAATAAAATATTCGAATGGCATTTTACTATTCGAATATCCGGTACCACATGACCTGCGCCGTTCTGCTTGGACATCGAACTCACGCGTCTCCAACTCAATTGTTAATTGTGCGAGATTCCCCAATGGCGGTCGCTATCGGGAAAAAAACGACAAATTTGAAAAGTCGTTGTCTCTGGGTTATGGTGTTATATGCTATCTTTGCACTTAACGTGTCGTTTCAATTCCATATTTTGCAAAAAAAATACTTACCGTTCGTTCCGTAAATTTAGAAACGTCAAACCAGATTAGGTATTTAAAATAAACTTCCCATATTTTAAACTCCGCATGCTTGGTGACATGTCATTAGCCATTTCTTACATTACCGAACATAAAGTTGATTAAGATTAAATGTTAAAATGACTTTTCGGCGTTTCATTGTGAAAAAGGCGATTATTTAGTTATTAACTATTATCTAGTTATTTAAATAGCATGGATTTAAAAATGACCAAAAGTTTTTCCAAAAGCTGGTATGAGTTACTTGTATGAAAAACACTCATTAAGTTGTGACCATTTAAGAAATGTCATGCCCTCCTCCCTTCCAGTCACTTTGTTGAGCTCTTTAGTGATCCCTCCATCCTTGGCCAAGTAAGGTTTCGAATATGTAAACATTTCACTCGACCATGCATGGCCGTTGAGCCAAGAGTAGAACGTAAAATCAATTGTGAATTTCGTTGTAACAATGCACACTGACTCGTTCACAGAATTGTTACGTCTATTATCATCGAAAATGATTACAATTGTTAAATTTTGAAGTATTTGGGCAGTAATAATTAAGCCTTAAGGCATGACATAATCAAAATCATTAAGTGTAGTGCTGAATTTGCAAATTACGTAAAGAAAATTGAGCATTACTCAGGTATTTTAGCTATAATAACCATCGGGGCGTTGTTTTGTTGAAACAAAAACGTTAAAACTTGAAGAAACTAGTTATAATTAGCGTCTGACCCTCTATTAGGCACAAAACCCCAGAAATGCCTTTATTGTCAAATTATTCAATCTCTATTTTAAATCAACATTCAGGATTCACGCAATCGTAAATTTGCTAGGTTTATCTATCCAATACTAAAATAACACGAACACCATAGAAAAGCACGAGAAACCTAATTATCATTTTAATAAATATCTGCATCTCGGTTACCGTTCACTTTAAACAATTACGGTTAATTTACAAGCGGTGATAAGGAAGATCAAATCGAAGGCAGAGGATAAAACTCAAAATAAAATTAATTTGGTTTTGGAATCAGCCCTTAATGTATTCAACAGCTGTCGCTGATGTGAACGCAAGGGTAAACTAAATACTAAAACAATCATTGAGTTATTTGATTTATACATAATATTCGGGAATGCGACAAAAACTGAAAATCCACAAAAGCAAGCCAATGATTACAACCATGTCTAAAATCTTTCCAAGTGAAAAGTGTCCGAGTAGCCGCGAAAACGCTTACTGTTGCATCTTGTAGTTCAATCAACGCTACGCATATAAACACGGGGAATCCATTCGACTGACTAATAGACTTCCGCATTTTAATTTCAAGTCAATGATTAGTTTTCAATGAAAAATTTTCTTTGAAAGTAATTAATTTTTAAAACATTAACAAGAGCCGCAGCAAAGGTTGTTGTGAGCCGCATGCGGTTCTCAAACGCATGCGGCTCTCAAACCCTAGTTTGAGAATCACTGGTTTAAAGTATTCTGTGGCGTCTGCAGCTGCCGCAAACCCATGGCGGTACGGCCAAACCTGCCGCAAACCCATGGCGGTACGGCCAACCTCAATGGGCCAAACCCATTGAGGTGTATATAAGGTTATATACACCCCAATGGCCAAACCTATGGCGACTGACTTCTTAGCTGCCACTAACCAATGACGAGCTGCCCTTACCGCGGCAGCAAATTGAAAACCAATGGCAGGTAAAATTTTTCTGCCGTAACCGCGGCAGGTGGGCCGTAAAGACAGGGATGTCCCTTATGGTGACAAATATTGGGTAAGTTGGAACGTTTACTTATGGTTACAGTTTTGATAGATTTGGGGTTAGGGTTAGGGTTTAAGTAGATATAATTCCGCATGATCAATTATAACCTGGTACATTCATTTGCGAATATACCTTTAATACAGAATACTGAAGAGCGCTATAAAACCATGGCAAGAGCTGCCATAAAGTGGTAAGAACTGCGCCTCCAAATTTTCGTAGACGAATTTTCGAGATTGCCCCAGTATTTAATGAAATAATTCGGAGTTAGTCAAACGACTCATACTTCAACATTAGGCCGGTAGAAATGGATTTTCATTTTGATAGATAACATATTGTGTGGTTAAATGTGTTTATATTTTAAATGACACTCATGGGGCACCAAAGTCTCTAGTGCTTCCGGCCCTGACGATGATGTGTAGTGGCTGGGAGTATGTTTTTTAAACCTCAATGGTATACACAGAGTCAGTCGAGTTTGCACAGAAGCGGACTCAACGCATAGGAAATCTCATGACTGCATATTAATTATCGGAAACTTGTGAATCAATTTCGACTTGTGTTAACGACTAACGTATTTCCGTTCGTAGCTTTAAAAACGACACTGTCCGCGTTCGCAAGGCTAAATTTACTCAAATTTTTGTTTTAAAGTTAAATAGTAACGTAGTTCTCTGAAGCTAACTCTAAATATATATTCAATCAAGTAATTTCAATTTGCTACACATGTGGGCTATTTGAGAAAGCTACATACAAAATGACCCAAGGGCATTGCAAGGAAAAGATCCATTTCTAACAAGAGGGGATATATAAAAAAAACATATTTTTTGTCTAAAGATTGTCTTACGTCCAATTTAAAATAGTTCAGAATCGATAACATACGATTAAATTACTTTTTTAAGAAATTCAGATTCGAGAATATGACAGAACATCGTCTTCAATTAAACATTCGTGGCAGTGTAAAACGTTTGAGTGGAGTAACTTTTATTAATTAGGCAGATGGTATAGTTGTGTTACCAATACGAAGTTTGAAATTATGTATGGGAATGAGGTTTTTGAGTTCTTACATATTTCAACAGCGTCAGATTGAACTCATAGAATGAACACACAAAAATGATATAAAACTGACGCCTCTAATAAATTATATTGAACTGTTAGTTATATATATATATATATATATTGCCACACGACATTTTTTAAATGCAAAAATAAGTGGACTAGTTTAGTAGATAGAACATAATGTGCATAAATAAAACATATGTACAGATAGTCGGATGACAGGAGTACAAATGCTGAGTGGATTTGTATTTGCAACACATCAAAAACGTGAGCCACATGCCGATGCAGTTCTGGTAATATCACAGAAGGAAATGGCGAACATCGCCGTTCAACTATATAGACTAAAATTACTTAGTTAGTATTGTGTAAAAAAATCTATTGAAATATTTTATTAGTATATCGTTAAACCATTATCGCAATATGGACGTCACCGAAGCGGGGAGCAGGGTTAACATGGCTATGTACGCCAATACGCCAGAAGAAGCAAATGAGGTAGGGCATTCGGGAAAACACCCCTGCCACGTTTTAAAATAACGAATTAGTAATTATCCAGTTAGAGTTGGGAATGGTTTGAATTGCCAGCGTAGGGAGTGTTTTTAGCGGGGGTTTTGTACAAAACATGCTTTGTTTATAGTTCATGAACTGTTTACTTGATATATACTATTATAACAAACTCTGTTCTTTCGGACTTTCATATCTTCTCTCAACAAAAAAGGCTTTCAACGTCAAAATCAGTTCTCTGATACTTCTTCTCTGTTATCTATCAGTGTACTCATGTGTCAGACATAGAAATTATTATGACAAAACATTTCTCTTCTCTACATCTATGTAAATCCCACAACATTTAGATATCTTGCCGATTATATTTCCTTGAACTGTTTCGTGTTTCGGGTCAGCTGATATTTGAACGGTGCTTACTGTACCAACATAAATCTTACAATTTACGTAGTCGATCGTAGCAACGCAACTTATTTCTTAGTTCTTTCAAGCGTTTTCAAAGGTTTGTAGGAATTTGCTAAGTGGAAATAAATAGATTATTGTAACTTTCAATAATCGATGCATTTGGCATTTCTTTTTAGGCTTACTCAAAATGGGCAGATAAATACGACGAAGATCTTACTTGGGTACTAGGATCTGTGGCTGGAGATGAAGTTGCTGAAAACTCGATGAAGTATTTAAAAAATACCGAAACAGCTCTCTTGCTGGATTTAGCGGCGAGTTAGTGGCTTGTTACTATTTCTGTTGAATTTGAAATAAAAGGGATGTATTTTTGTACATAGACTACTTCAATTGGCTTTTTTGGACACGAAGAATGGATCGTTTTGGTATTATGTTGTTGCTGTTAGAACTACTGTTCCTATTGCTATGAAAAAAATCGCTATTCCTTTCAATTACTGTACAATTGCTTCGAATTTTTCAGTTCAATTTTTCGTCGTCGATGTTAGGCTACTTATGTTTATTTCAAAAAAATTTGTGGGCTCCATGGAAAATTCGTTTTTTTTTTGCGTGTGATGACGTCATCACACCTAAAAATTGATTATGTCTAAGTATGTGTTGGCACCGCCGCGAGGTGTCAAGTTATGTCATCCTATAGTTCAGTCCAAGAAACCTTTCAAACACCAACAATTATTCGATTCGAGCATACTCAATAACGGGTGTCTCCAAAATGTCGTGTCCCGTGTCCCACTTCTACCACGTGTCCCACTTGTACCACGTGTCCCGGAGGAATTGGACACGAGACACGTGGTACAAGTGAGACAAATGGGACACGTGGGGCCCGACATTTTGGAGACACCGCTCAATAACTGCTGTATTATGGGGAATTTTATGCAAACCGTAAACATCAAATAATTGTTTTTAGGCACTGGCTTGGTTGCTGAGGCATTGTTATCCCGTGGATACAAAGGTGTTATGGACGCAATTGAATTAAATGAAGACATGTTGAAAAAAGCCGAGCTAAAAGGAATATACAGGTACTATTTTTTTGTGTCGATTTCTATTTATGGACTTTTTTGTAGGGTAGAGTTAGATAATATGATCATTACTGCATGTCACATCTGGAGTTGTATTAGTGTCAATTATCGTGGATATATAAAAACATGATATTATGGCTAAAATGAGTCTTTCATTTATTTTCCTATTAACATAACTTTTAATTCTTCTCTGTAGTAAAACGACGAAATTTAACTGCATATTCGTGGGACATTCTCGGGAATCTTATTGTTAAACTAAACTCGTATGCAGCATTTCAAATTCACTTATTGAATCAGATCAGCTACATATTAGTAGCCCACAACTGACTTAATATCGACATAAATTGTTTTGATTACAAATTATCTTGATACAGTGGTTCTCAACTATGTCTACGTACCACTTCTGTGTTTTTTACTCAGGTCGCGTACCGCCGAACGATGCCACATCGAAAGCGCTTCGGGAGTATCTTATAATGTGGCGGTACATCCATTATTATCATACCCAAAGTTTCAACATGTTAATTATATAAAGCAGCGTTTCCCAAACTTTTTCGGTCACTGAACACTTACACTTTTTATCTCGACTCGCGGAACACCAAAAAATGAAAGGGTAAAATTGATAAAGAAAACGGTGTAATTTAGCGGTTTCCAATGGGTTCTCGTGGCGAGTTGCCAAATGCGCCTTGAAAACTAACAGAATGCTATTTATATGAATCAATTCCTTCAGTTTACCATTCTCTGTCGTTTACTTCCCATTACGTAGTGTTTGCCTCTAATGTTACGTCTAATAGAGATAGAAGTACTTGCCGCAATTTCGCGAGCTGCAGATATGCAGCTCATTTATTTACTAAATAGAGTATAGCGAAAATGAGGAATTTTTTCAACATTTTAAAGTAAAACCATGCAGAGATGGCGAAAGAAGTGTTGACCTTTATCCTTCATTCTTCAGACTTACTTGTTTGCCTTAGCAAAACCAAAAGGATTGCTGGAAATGCTTGATCATGAACTTAACAGCCAAAACAAAAATCTAGGTCGGCGGCTAACGAAAATGCCACTTTTGAAATGTAAAGAAAATGAAAAAATAAAAATCTAATAAAAACACGCGTATTCCAGCGTTCGATGGGACCCGCTAGCTGTCCGATCTAATTTGGCAAATAAAAATTTCAGAACCCCCCCCCCTTTCAAAATTTTTGGCTACGCTCCTGTTCAAAGTGTTCCTATGGAACGCAACGTTGTCGCCCAACTGGCCGTTCGATACCGTCGGTCTAAAGCGGACTAACTGGGGTTCGACCCGCAAAACCACCCCCTGGCTACGCTACTGACTTCGAAGATGCTCGCGGAACACAGTTTGGGAAACGCTGATATAAAGTAACAACGTGTTAATTGCGTGCGAGAGAATGGGCGTGGTCTACCGTCTGAGTTGAAAAACTCCAATTATCGCCACCAGTAAATTCGTCAAACTCATCCGCTTTGATCGGGGCTAGCTGCTAGCACGAACTGCCTACTTAGTCTCGAAATTAATTAGCATTAAAGTTTAAGATTATGCCCATCGGCCAACACATACATCAGGTAGCAATAGTAACATCTGTATGATGTATCAAGACGCTATCAGGTTATCTCACCACGAGTCGAACGCTCCGGCCCCTTCGTTGCCGATTTCTCAAGACATATGCATTGTGGTTCCATTACATTTGAACCCACGTACATTTGAACCCATGGCAATTGCACCTGCATATTATTGCACCTATGGATTTTTTTTTGTTATACGAATATTTGAACCCATACCAAACCTAACCCATGGGTTTTAGCACCCGCATATAGATTGAACCCGCGGATATACACATGGGTTCAAATGTACGTTGGTTCAAATGTACGGTCACCATGCATTGTACGTATCTTAACACACAAATCCAGCGAAAACCTGCAGGCCTCGTTTCGTTTTAGGTGGGCAGTAGCGGGCGAGGGCGATCCGCAAAGACAGGGACTGGTAGTGCTATAAACCCGTTCACAGCAATTCCATAAATTAGTTGAAAATTTGGTAAAAATTATATCTTGCCTAATTGAAATATTAAACTGCAGGAAGTGTAGGACATATCTTGAAGTTTTCAAAATCGCACGAGAAGGTACATTTACGGCTCAAAATAATTGTTTTTTCTTCAGTGGAATAATTGATGATTTTCTGCCTAATTTTCTTCAGTTTTGTAACATAAACTCTCATGCTATTTATGTTACCTTAAAATGTATTTGTTCAACCAAAGTATGTGTTAGGTTTTACCTCTGATATCTGTGCTTAATATAAATATTGCGGTTCCATTACATTTGAACCCACGTACATTTGAACCCATGACAATTGCACCTGTATGCTATTGCACCTATGGATTTTTTTTGTTTCACGGATAGTTAAACCCATACTAACCCTAACCCATGGGTTTTAGCACCCGCATATGGATTGAACCCGTGGATATACGCATGGGTTCAAATGTACATGGGTTCAAATGTACGGTCACCAAATATTGCACTGTGCACTATTGGCAACACTGGGCTAAACAGAGCTTATGAGAATTTGCCTTGTGTTGTCACTCCGTGACGCGTCACTCCGTGACAATTTTTCAACTTCATTTTAATTATCTGATATATTTCAATAACTATTTGCCTCAAAAACTGAGACGTCACTTTGGGGGTAGGGCCCAATAATTTACCAATTTGGCAGATGATAGTTGCTTGTTGTTCTTTCGCAGCACTTCAAGAGATCTCGTCACTCCGTGACGTCACGGAGTGACATAAGTATGCCATTTTTTGAAAATAATATTTTTCTGTACGCGAATATTGGGTTTGAACTGCAAATTCTTTCGTTTTGCCCTCTACTTACTTTGGATCTTACCCACAATGAAACTTGAATGATCTGATTGAATGGCAATGGCAACTTTTTTAAAACTATCGATGACCAAAATATTTGACCTAACATGTGCCGGTTTTGAACAATATAAACGAACTTATTGTAGACTGCAATTGAAAAAATATGTAATCTGTTGAAATGGCAGAATAAATATGGCAAAATGCATTGTTTTGCAATATAATTCGACATTTTTGTAAAAGGCGTATGTGAATTCAAATAATTCACAAACAATATTAAATCTCAAGTTTTAACATCGACATCTGGATTGTGGTTTATATCCATTTATCGGGTTAACTCATAGGATGCTAAAAATATCGTGAAATGTAAAAAAAATATGATATGTTTGTCAAAAATTGAAGATACTTCCAATTAGAAAACGCCAGTGCATCATTCATTGTCAACAATAATTATTTTTACGTGCCAGCTATATCATAAAGCTGGAAAAAGCAAAAATGATGCAATAACGAGTTTTCGCAGGGACATATTTATGATTTATCACTGTCTTCTTGTTCTGAATATGCAGACTAAGAATACTGTGTTTGGGGCCTACTGCTTCTATGTGTGCTTTTCAAGCAGATGCAAGTACCTAACAAGAGAGACTTCAACGCAAAAGAAAATGCTTTTCTTAAATTAATAATATTAAATTAGATATCCAAATAACAAAAATCGTCGCATGGTGCAAAGATTCTTAAACTGAATTGCATTAACAGATCCTCCAGATTCTGTATTTTGAATTGCCCATTCTTTTTCAAGTCACTGCAATAAAATTCCAGATATATAGGAGTGGAATAGTCATGTCTGTTTCATGTTGTCTGTGCAACATAGCTTTTTACTTAACTATATAGATTATTAAAGTTAGTGCACTCGTTTAGCATATTAATAATATGAGGGAGACACAAGCAGAACGACAAAAATATATCATGTTTCCCAATTTCTTGCTTAAATGTTTTGTAATTTCAAACAAATAACCAATTTTGACCTAATACAACTAATTGTTCAACATTCTTAATACCATTTTAATGATAAGGAATTTTTGTCACTCCGTGACGTCACGGAATGACATGCGACTAGTTGGGCCGTATAATTGGGCTGCTTCCTGAAAAATGTTTGTTGTACAATAAATTTTGCATAAATGTAGAGATTAATATCTCTAGAATACAGAGACAAATTATTAAAATTGATATGTCATGAAGCTTTTGACGAAATTTGGTTGATTCAACTTTTTGTCACTCCGTGACCACACTTGTTTGGTCTCGTCGTTTGAAAAATTTTGGTTGAAAGTGAAAAGTGAATTATGGTAAATACATCAGTGTTACTGCTACCAATTGGCATTCTAAAAATAGCAAACCACCAAGACCTTGATATAGTAGAATTGGTTAAATGTGTGAAATGTCACTCCGTGACATTTATGGAATTGCTGTTCAGCGAATATACACAGAAGAGAACGAGTCGGCGTCATATTTTAGCCAACTCAAAATTGTTGTAATAATTCAAAGCTGGTACTACTAGTGGTTCGTGTACCACAGTCCGAGAACCACTGAGTTAATATAAATGAAAATAAAGCCATTGTAAGTTATAACAGATGTGAACATATGCCGTTTTTTGGACACGGAGTGGACATATGGATCATCATTTTGTATTTATGGTCTTGTTAAAATTCTACTTTCTGTCATTTTTTGAAAGTCGCTTTTCTCTGTAATTACTGGAACCCCATTGCTTTGAAGTTTTCAGTGCTTAAAAGATTGATTTTTCGCCAGAAAACTAATACTTTTTATTATTTCAAAAAAATTCCGAGGGCGCTAACAGATTCGTTTTTGTGGCGATGGCGTCATCACAATACAACATATCGCTCCTATTGGCGATTTCGATGCCCTGGTCGAGCGAAGCCGTGAACACTGCGGATACCGGTAGGATATTGTGAAAGACTGTATGCGCGTACTACTCTGTGTCCATATATTTGAGCATCGCTCTCTTGTTGTATAAGCGACGGTAATTTGCGCCTTCCGCCCCAAACAGGATACTTTGCCAAAAGCTAATATTTTTAGGGAGGTGTGATTTATTTCCTGTTTAGCTTTGCCAACCCAATACATTTCTCTTCTTGTGAGGTGGTGGACACTGGATTGGAACCCAAATATGTACAATCTGTGATGTCAACACAGCTAAGTGTATCAATTTAACTGCGAAGTCACCGTGTCCATCACCCTCATATCGAATCAATCGTGTTCAATCAATTTTATTTAGTTAATTTGTCACAAATTTGATACAGAAAACATATTTGCTTCAAAATATCACCGGACACTTTGATTCCAGTTGAACAAGGGGCATATGATACTGTTACTTGCGGTGGGGCCTTTGGGGCAAATCACTTGGAGGAAGGATGTATTCCAGTAAAGTATTAATTGTATTAAAATAATGTCACAAATTCTTGTCGCTAGGGAGATGTAGCAAAAATAATTGCCCATCACGAAGCGCACATATTCTACCTAAACTACACTTTTTATTGATATTTATCTGATATTTTCAATATTTAAAATTCTACTGTCGATATATTTCAAATCCTTACATTTAAATATGACTGATTTTTCTGTGGTAATCAGAGTTTCATATAGCAATATCGAAAACTGTTTTTTTGTTGTTTTGAGTTTGATGTAGATAAGTTGTATATCGTCACGCTAATAACCGAATTGCGTAAGTCATTTTTGGCGATTTTGATTTTTTTTTATAAAATAGGTATTTATGTAATGCCGTCATAATGAATTATCATTGTTACCGCATGACTATTGTAACATCACAAAGGCAAAATAACCTCGGCGAAGTATTTTCGAGTTTTTGCATCTCGGATTCTAGCTAGCGCGTATTAATTTGAATTTATACTACAGTATAGGAAGGCGTGCACTTGTGATATTCACTGTCCGAGTCCAATTCACCTTGGTTGGCTTTTATATTGGGTGCAATGCTGTTTTATTCTTTATATTTAATCTTAGTCCTATTTCGGTGGGTGTGCAGAACGTGATATTGATGAAATATAAATTTTTGAACATAAAAAATAATGTAATTGAAACTGATTAGCTATTTTGGAGATTAGACATTGTAGATCCTGAGAATTACATTCGTTTTTAGAATGTTTAGTTTTCAGGACTGGTGCATATAGTAAAGTTGCAAAATTGCGTATGTCCCTAAGTCATAGACACATTTTTGCTTAAGTCACAGTGCGCTATTATTACGTCACTTAACTACGTCATACAAATTAACTTAAATCCGGCTACGATCAAAAAACTGAACCATGGCAAATTATTGACTTTCAATGGCATAACAATATCATTAGGAAGTTTTTTACGTTTTTCTCAAAACTTCTAAAAATGACTTACGCAATTCGGTTATTAGCGTGACGATCCATATGCATGCTTGAAAAAATATCGAATATTTAAGATTTTATTTGTAGTAATTTATTGGTGAGGGCAACTCCAATCCCAGCTAACATAAACTTGCATTTGAAATAAACACAGTTGTCTACTCATTTTAGAATATTACCCGTTGCTTGAAACATGGAGGTATTTTGATTTTCAACACCCGAAAAACAGACGCAAACAAAAAATTCATTATTAAATTGAATAATGTTGCGGAGAAGCTCGTACGATCCGGGCAGTTGGTTGAGATTGAAGTTAAAGATATGGTGTTTTACCGAGCTAAGAGCAAAGAAACCGGCGATGTCATGAAGGCGGTGTTGTATATTTACAAAAAAATATAATTTCCAAATTGTTAATTCAAGTGTTGGCTTAGCTTAAATCATCGAATTTGGGGATTTTGTGCAAAATTTATTTCTCAATAAATGTGGATGAAGCCAATGTTGTCTGAAACACAGTTATTCGCGAGCGAGCATGACTGTAGGTGCTAATGTATGCAGGTGCAAATATTCACGGGTGAAGATGGGATCTTTTGTTCAAAGCCCCCGACACTAATGCGAAAATATACCTCAGCCACGTTTTCACATAACAAGTATGTAATTATTCGGCGCAATCTGCAGTTCTCAGACTCACAATATGAGCGAAACATAGATTCCGAGTATGGAAAAAGAGTAGTTGCTGATGGCTCGATAGTTTGAAATAAAAAATTCACCTAATACCATTCAATTGCATTTGCTCCATGATTGCATAATGATGTTTGTGTACTTAAACTACAAAATTTGGGAAATAAATGTTGTTTCAAATCAAATATGAAATTTTCAATATACTATCGGTGTATTTGCTAGCAAGGTTCCCTCTAAGTTGCGCAACTTCGCTATTGCGCAGTGACACCAGACCACTTGCGCAGTTGAATTTTCATTATCGCGCACTTGCAACATGCTTCCAAATCGTGGCTTCGACTTATATTTCCTAACGCCTAGCTACAATGCCCGTCCACGTTTCATATGTAGTTTGCTTGCCACTGCGCATTGTGATGTCACATACGTGTCTGTTACGTCAAAGTATCTTGAATTTGTCTGAATTGTCTGTCTGAAATCTTCCGGAGCGGGCTATTTTAAGCCGAGTCTACAATGCCAGTGCATTCTGATTATATTATTGCAATATTTCACATAATTTGTAAATCATTTAAGACTCTGCTCAGCCTTAAAATATTCATGCACGGTAGAACAAACATTTGTTCAGTGTAAAATTTTCTTAAAGGGAATACTGTTCGCAAGTATTCATTTTTATCATAGCATCGATTTCAAAATTTAAAAAAAAAGTATAAAAGCACTGTAGCTTACCAAACTGTTGTGTACAAATAGTATGCGCGTATCTTCTGCTTTTATGAATCTTCACATTCACAAAACGTAAAAAAGGTGAAATATTTAAATTACCTTTGCTGTCACTGAGGTCATACATCTCATTCCCTGTTAGTACAAATTTCCTCCTCTAAGCAAGACATCCAGAAAAATCCGCTATACAAGGAAGAGTACGGGATAAAATTATATGAATTCGAATTTAAGTACTGTATAACTATGAAAATGTCTATCAGCTCAAAAATATTAATAGTTCGCACTTCGCAGTGCACATATTTTCAATATTTTGCGTTGGTTATTTTTCTGTCGCTCTTTTACTTGTCTAAAAGTGACTCGGCTGCATCATCAATACGCTAATGCAGTGGTTCCCAAACTTTTTAGAGTTGCGACGCACTATTTATTACCACAGCTAATGGCGACCCATTTAACTTTTTATGACATAACACAGAACACAGCAATGGCTAATCATCGCAAAACTACCGTGTTTCCTCGAAAATAAGACCCGGCCTGAAAATGAGACCTAATTTAAATTTTAAAAATGATTTTACTTAAACCCTACCCTTAAAATAAATTTAAAATGTGTGGGAGAGGAAAGGTTCAATGACCTGAGGTAAGGTGAAGATCACACCACTATTCAAGATTGTGTGATGTCACAATCACAATTATGATATTTGCAACTTGATTTTTGTATAGGAAATAGTGGTATATATTATATATACGCTCCGGGAAATACCATACAAATAAAATCAATGGATGTCGGTTTTTATATAATGTTTATTAAAAAATCTCGTGATTTTCTACAATGTAATTTTATTTTTGATAAATGAACACGGAAGACCTCTTTCAAAACAAAAAATCATATTCTTTAAAAGGAAATAACTCTAAATCCTAACTAAATTTCGGGGAAACACGGTAAGAAGTTCTGTACATTGTACAAAACTGCTATGCGTAAAAAAACCACATGGTCATTCTTAGTGTAGAAAATTGTTCTTTTGAGATCGTGAAAAGGAAATTTTCACAAATTAGAATTTAAATTCGATTTAGTTTCTTTTTTTGAAGATTTACGTATTCGAGTCGCCACCGATCCTAATAACCAGAATAATTAATCAAAGCTTTCTACATCTTTTCACGACCCACTAAGATTTCTTTTGCGACCCACTGGTGGGTCGCGACCCATAGTTTGGGAACCGTTGCGCTAATGAAAACTTGTATCTTTAGCTCAAATTATATATTTGATATTGTAATGAACGTTTGCAAATATTGAAATATCGAATGGTAGGCTATAATTGCATAAAATCATTCGTTTAACTGAGGCGTCGCATGTGTGCATGTCGGTTCAAAACTTCGAGGATTTATTCTGTGGGTAACTCTCCTCCGTGTCCTATAAACTTGAGAACATCTTCGTTAGCAATGGTTCCGTTGTTCCTATTCCGTCATTTTTTCTTTAGTGATTATCTGCTTCATTGGCTTGTGAAATGTGAAATACAGCATAATAAATTTTAACTTTCAGGCCATGCGTTGACTAAGTAGGTTTTTGTGGAACGCAAAAAGTTAACCCGTCCATACCGTGCATATAAACCATTTCGAGACGACTTTTCTCAGAATGAAATTGAAAATAAAGGTCAATAAATAAACTGAAGGGAAGGGTAATATTGAACATTTGTAACACTTTGTTATACAATTAAAGTAATAACTAACCGGTTTAACGTGTAGAATAAAAGTAATTTCAAATTTTATACGCAGAGAAACTGCGGTACTATCACCTTCACACAATCAATAATTTAAATTGTCGTAAAAAAGTATTGATTTAGATTAGATCAGGGTCGTCCAACCCGTGGCCCGCGGGCCACATGTGGCCCGCCGAAGGTTTCCGAGTGGCCCGCGCGGTATGATTCGAAACCAAATGTCTTTCACAAATCTGAGCTATTATTGAAACCTCTAATAAAAAAAATTGTCGTTCAAACGCGCGAGAAGCACCACCTAGCTATCGAAAGCATTTTTTATGTGCATTTGTGGTCGTTATTGCTAGTGTGACATGTTTGAATTTATTTTTATCGTCTGCCATGTATTTCAATCTGTTTTCCTGTTTTTTTCTGTGAAGCTTGAAGAAGCAGTTTTATGACCTCAATATTTGACAGCATTTATTTGTAGGAGCAGTTTTATCATGGATGAACCATGTAAAATCCCCCATGAGATACTAATTTCTGACAGCCACGTGAAAAATCCGCTCCGCATTGCTACATCGTCCACTGCACCTACTATTGACAAACTTATTGGATAAACACAGTGCCATAATTCCCATTGAAAAATCTATGTGTGGTTGAAACTTTTGACTTTACTGTATTTCGTATTTCCATTCTTCTTATGATGTAGGTGCTTTGTTTGTTTTTTCATTGATTTGTAGTCGGGTAGTGAAAACTAGAACATAACTACCATGTCAAATGGCCCGCGCAATGATTCGTAAACTGAATGTGGCCCTTCGTCCAAAAAGATTGGACAACTCTGGATTAGATAGTAACAGTATGAAAGAGGTTTTTAATTGGAAATTATTTTAATACCTTTGTAATTTTAATGTTATACTATATTTCCACAAGAACAAACAAGAATACATCTGATTTTTTTTATTTCTATTAATAATTATATAGTATTTTATGTAATTCTATTGAACACTTCCCTGTTTCTCCTAATTACCTCAGAATAGAATTCCCTTCCAAACTTCTAAGAGACCATGAGAAGATTTGCCATAAAATTATAAACAATTTTCGATAAATTATATGTAGGCGAGACCGTGTTGTCACACATGAATTACATAGACCCAGTACATGATATCGCCTCAATCCCGGTATATATAAGTGCCACATGTGTAAAGTTCAAAACGCAAAATACCAACGAAGGATTGAGAAGAAGATGCAACAGCAAGTTTCTCATTGATGCGGACGTTTGTTTAAATATCTATGACCCACACAGTTTCTGCTCCAACAAAAAAATGTCCTTTTTGACCCGTTGAATAAAAAAGGTTCGCTAACCTTTATATATATCATACTGTATTCACGATATCTTTTGGTCTGTGAACTAATTTTTTTTTTATTGCGGTACTTTGTTTTGATTTGTGCAGGCCTGATCTAAGCTGAGCAGGCCGTTTTTTTTTACCAAACGAAAGCCAACAATGGAGAAGTTCATAGGCCCGTTTATGCAAATCATAACCAACTGTGTCATTCACAATCTAAAATCAGTAATATATACAAGCACTCTTATTTTTCAAACTGGTGGCAGTAAATTTTATTTGATCTCATATACAACAAAAACATCGGTAGTATGAAAATTGCAGTCAGAAAAAGTGGCGATTCTGCTTGGTATGACATTCGGTTAGTCAGCATTTAGGAACGTGATTATGTTTGTTACCGTTTATGACAAGGCTTTCTGCAGCGACACGTTCTTGCGTATTTTGTTTGCCCTTTCAGACAAGTTGAAAAAACATTTGCATGATGCGTTATTGAAATATGCAATTATGCATTCTCCTCTCGTATGATCGAGTTCGATAAGCGGCCATGACGTACTGATTACGTAATTATGCAAATGAGTATCAAATGACATGCGTCGCGAAGATGTTGTTACGCACATTCGAGACATAGCCTATTGCGTGGCAAAGTGCCTAAGATAACAAATACGGAATAGCTTGTGATCACGTTCTCAGCCGGAAGTAAGTCTCAAAGTTTCGATAAAATTTTAACTCTGTTTATCTTGTCAACTTTGAGAAACGGGATGCGCAAAATGAATACTGTAATGTTTAAACAAAAAAGAAATTTCTCACGAGAATGGCTGTGGTGATCACCAATATTTATGCAGATATATATCAACAAAAAGTGAGTAGTCGATTGATCATCAAATCAAATGCTGGGGCCAGAAACACGCGACATATATATTCCACATATTTCGGTCTCACACGAAGATTTACTAGGCAAACTTTATCCTTCAGATAATGAAGGCTCCAATGACAGTAGCTGAGAACGTGGTCCGATCTGGTTCATATCTTGTACGTGATGCAACAAATTTATGGGGCTTGCGCTGGCAATCAATTCCAAAAGCATGTGCCTTGAATGCGTAACATCGGGTTAATTAATTATATCACACGGATATTTAAATGATAGTATGTCTGCGTAGCGTGCTTGCGAATATCAATATGGGCTGTTGCATTTGCGTAAAGTACGAAAATGGTGCATAACTAAAACGAGACGAAGCAATACGTTGTTGTTAACGTCAAGTTGACTTAGCGACGCAGTCAAAGCTACGTAATATTACACAAATTTGCCGATAAAATTAGAATGGCCGGCCCATTGACCGGCTTTCATGCAGTATAAAACTTATTGAATACTTATTGTTTGTGGTCCGTGATATATGGGAGCATAAAGTTGATTGCTTCTCACACGAGGATTCTCCTGAAGGATGGTCAACGACCTCGGGCAAGCCGGAAAACTGGCG